TCTGATTCTCTCCAGTCCGTTGCTTGACCCTCCCGAGAAATCTCTCTTTCTTCGGCTCTCAGTCAAGTCCGGAGTTCACCTCGACACGTCTTACTCTCCTCGTGTCTCCCTCGATTCTGTCTCTTCTTACCTCTTCCATTTCCTCTACACACCCTTCTTTGTTCTCCTCTCTCAGAGGGGGGTAATTTCCTGCACTATTGTTCTTTGCGATTCACAGAATTGCTAATCCCCCCTAAAGGCTATAACGGTCATGGAATGTTCTAGAATGAACACATAAAGAAATCGAAGAAATAGGGAAAGAATATTAGAACTAAAAATATGTATATACTAATAATAATAAAATAAACGTATGCTGATATGGCCACCGGCCACAGTGGTGTCACCCCGCAGAGACTAAATTTTACATAGAGATTACAGAAACATTTTTCACATTATCATGCTTTATCAACATTCTACACTGTACTTAACCCTCTATTAAAATCTCTTAACTCTAAACGCACAGTGAGTTGTTGACTTTTCTTTTTAGGTGTCAAAATTTTTCATCGAGCTATTAGGATTTCAATACCTAATATTGAGAGATTGATCGTGGGCCACATAAATTCATTAGATGGGTCGGATCTGGCCCATAGGCCGTATGTTGGCCATGCCTGGCCTAAACTGACTATCCTTTGTATAGGGAACAGATGATCAAATTTATGTAGGAATTAATGATCCATTTGTTGTTTGTCAAGGGTATTTGCTGTTAGAATCATAGCCATATATATAATATAAATCATATATATCGCGCATAACAATGGGTGAAGATCTCCATCTTGACCTTGAGATTTTATAGTTTTCTCCCTCAAATCTCACCTTTTGATTGGTTCTAGTTTCCTTGTCTCACTTCCTGATTGATCTCTCCCTTGTTTCCAGGTGAAAACTGAGACCGGTTTGAGTTGCAAGAAAGGTACATTTTGAAGAGTTATTTGATACCATTCTTCAACTCTGATCAGGAGATGTTGATGGAATTATGAAACCTGCACTTGTATTTTACTCTATTATTGCCTCTTCTCTGACATTTTAGAATTCCAATGATTTAACATGATGTCCTTTGACTATCAACCCTTCCCCCTTTTTCTGATTTTCTAATTTAGGTCAATTGTATAATATATGAGCACCCAGTGCCATAACTAGGCAGGTGCAACAGGTACACCTGCACAGGACTCCCCTTGGAAGGGGGCCCAAAATGCATGTATTTGTTTTATTATTTTACCAAACTTAATTAATTTAGGGGCCTAAATGCAAATTCTTGTACAGGGCTCATTACATGAACTAAATTACAGCACTGTGAGCACCCCTGTCAAAGTTCCATCTCTCCGGATCAACATTTATCTATGATCTATCAAATGTTTGAGTTCTCGAGACTCCTCGTTTATTTCTGTGTCACGTTTGTTTGGATAACTACAGGTTTTTTCTTTCTCCTTTATATAATGTTCACTTTATTTTTGTCTCAGGAATTTTTATACAATCAATGCAATTGTTGCAATTTCAGACACATCTGGAACCTTACAATTATAGATATTAATTTTATGTTTTATAGTAGATAAAATTTTAAATTAAAGTTCTATAATTATTACAATATTTGATGATAATTTTTTGTATTTATATAACTATTATTTTTTATATGATAGGTGCAACATATGATGGTAAAGTCATTACGCAATATTATTGAACAAGCTTTTAAAGTAAATGCTTTTTATAATTTTGATTTTATTTTATTATTATATTTCAAATGTTGCATAATCCTTTAAATAAAAGTTTAGAAACAAATTTTTAAAAGTATTTTGTTAAAAGTAACATAATATAAATTATTAAGAAAGGATTATATACTGTACAAATCAAAACATTTTTGTATTTCTTTTTAATTTAGAAAAGTAAAAAATAAAGTTTATTTAATAGTCTGGTCAAATAAAGAAAAATGAATAATTATAATATAATCTTCAACTTACTAATTATAATTAATATAGAATTATAGAATTTTATATAACTGACAATTTTAAATAAATATTTTAATTTTTTAATGAAAAATTTTATAATTTACATGCTGTATTAAATTACAACTTGTCTATTAGTCTTTTAAATTGCAGCATGCTACATGTAATTCAAAATATCAAACTGTTAAGATGAGGAAGACAGAATAATTTTGTTTCTAGAAACAAAATCAAGACAAATTTTGGTTTCTAGAATGTAGTCATTTGTTATTTAAATTCATTTTTAAATTAAAAAAAATAAACAGAATATGCTTAATATGAATACATCAAGAAAATCAAAATTAGTATTATATCAAGAAATTAAATGATGTTTTTAAGTTTAATAATTCTTCAATTTAAAATTTTTTATAAAATTATCCATAATCTATATAAATAATTTATTATATTATAAAATTTTAAAACATGTCAGGGTTATGCATCAGATAACAGATACAGATGGGTGCTCTCTTGGCCTGGTCAAGTAGTCCTTTGTGTGTCTCAAATATATTGGACATCAAAAGTTCATGAAACAATTAGAAGAAAAAAGCGGAAAAGTTTGTTTGATCTCTGTGAACAACTGGATATGCAAATAACAGAAACTGCAAATATTGTTAGAGGAAGAGTCACCACCACCACACGAATAACTTTGGAAACTTTAATAGTGATCGATGTTCATGCCCGTGATGTCATAATGGAGTTAGCTCAGAAAGGTATTTCAATTTTTTTTTCATCTTTAAATATTTAAAAGCTGATAACTTAAGATACATTTATTTATATGATTTTTGTATTAATAATTATACCAATTACTGGTATCTTATATTAACAAATATTACCTCATATATTTTTGGCTTCATAGTATTATCTGTATTAAATGCTTAATTTTAAATAGCCAACTATTTAAATTTTTGTTAGAAAGCTGATGCTGTCCTAAAACAGGATGAAAATGTTCCTTTGTAGTAAATTTAAACAGTTGGTTACCTGAAATTAAGCATTTGATACGTTTAATCTTATATTAAATATTACTGTAAGATCCAATCACATTGCTGAGTAGAAATATAATGTACTGTGCATCTTTTTATATTTATGACATATATTCTTCTAAAACTGTTTAGTTTTTGCACAATATATAGTATGAATGTTAAAGCAATGGTTGCTGAACTTACTGGTTTCTATCAGATCAATGAAGTTAAGCAATATAGGTCTTGATTAGTACTTTAGCCACAGATGGCAAGGATGTTGTTATATTCGCCTAATACATGATAACTCTGATGTAGCTAAGTCTGGATAAAAGAAAGAGTTTGCATCAGGAAAAATATCTGGGAAGAAAATGATAGCCTAAACCAGGGGTGGCCAACAGATTTTGTCCCCATGCCGAATTGGAAAGAAAACTTTTTCCACAGGCTGAACCAGAGGCTGCCCTAGGAAGATTTTGAGGTGGTGTGAGATCTCATTGTGGTGTGGTCTTTGTGTTGTAAGGACAATTATAATTACCAACACTTTTCAAAATAAACACTAACAGGTTCTTTTATTTATGGATCCCAATTGATTAATGTACAATCATTACAACGTGATGGGTACAAGAAATCGCGTGGTGACGTTAACTTGGCACGTAACAATATGTATTTTCTATACACGTGATAAAATCTAACTTAACCTAACTTAAACCTAGCTTAATACTAAGGAAAATATAAGAAGGATAGGATAGCAAGAAGGAAAATAGAAGGAAGNATTATTATTTTTCTAAAACGTGTGATCGCGTTAGGCTTAACATCGAAAAATATTCGACGTGGAGCGACACGTGACGGATAAAATATTCAACATCCAACAGGTTAAGATAAATATCTTTATTACAATTTTCTTAAGCGATACATATAAATTAAATAATGTTTTCTTTGTCATTACTAAGCACTGTTAACTGCGTTTTCTTTTTGGCAAGATATCCTTATCCTCTGAGCATTTTTCTGTATTATCTTCAGATCCATGCTCTACTTCTTGCAAAAAATATGTTATTTTAGATTGCTTGCTTTTAGTTAAAAGATCTTTTTAAATATCCTTATATGGTGCTAAACACTTATGAAGAATAAATCAAGTATGGAATAAGGGAAAACATCTGGTAACACAAAATCAGAAGCATTGAGATCTGGCAACACTGAAACAAGTTTCAAGAAGGATTACATGTATCAGCAGAAGGCGGAAAAGAAAATTTACATACCTTAAGTACTAATAGTTTACGAAAGTAATAATTTTCGTGAACTATTAGTACTTAAGTATGTGAAAATTTATTACATTTCATGTTGTACGAGTGTTTTACCCAATTCTTGAACCATGTTAGAGTGAATCCGTGCTATAAAAGCACTGTGTTGTATGGGGATGTTCCCAATTCTCAAACCATGTTAGAGTGAATCCGTGCTATAAAAGTGCCGTGTTATATGAGAGTTACCTGTATATTGAAGTATCAAACACTAACAATAAATGATTATTCTGTATACAGATGTACTTTTTTGGTTAGTTTCAACTTGTCCACATTTTGTCTTAGGACATTTATCCTTGAGAATCTAATCTGTTCATAAGCAAAGGAGCACCTATATGTACACATATGTTTCTGTACATATTATAAACTATGCACTTAGGTTAGATTAATATTCTTGAAATTTGCCTTTTAAAACTTTTTATAGACAAAAACTGAATAACAAAAATTCACATAATTTTCATACAAGATCACTTCTAAATATTCTTTTTGAGAACAGTGACTGTGAGGAATTATGTTGAATTTATGCATATTGCTGTGTGTGCAAGCAATAAACAATAAGGTTTTTTCATACAATGAATGCATTTTTGATGAAATTTGGATGAAATTTTTTTCTTAATCTCACATAATTTTTAATTTACATAGTGTAAATTATTAGTAGAATACATAGTAAACTACAAAATTAAGCTTAATTTTATATAAATATTTCATTATAAAAACATTAAAAAAATATATTTTATCAGGTCTTAATGGCAGTTGGAACTCCCAATATATTGACAATAATGAAGAACTGTAACAAACTAATAGACCAAATTAATAGAGGATTAAATCAATATCTAGAAACAAAGAGATTATTTTTTCCAAGGTTATATTTTATATTATATTATTTTTCTGATTATGTTTTATATATTATAGAATTAATTGCATTATATATAATTATACATAAAAAACTAAGAATTTTACATGCAAATTTTAAAAATATATTTTACATTAAGATTAATATAAATTAGATTACATGCAAAATTATAACTGATAATATAATTTAATTGGAAGATTTAAGTTATAATTGTAACATATTTTTTGAATTTTATTTTTGAAATAACTTAATAAATGAAGTTTTTAAATGATTTTAGATTCTTCTTTTTGTCTGATAATGAAATTTTGGAAATTCTCTCTGAAACTAAAAATCCTTTACGCGTTCAACCATATTTAAAAAAATGCTTTGAAGGAATTGACAAGCTTGAATTTGACAATAATTTAGTTATTTATGCTATGTTCAGTTCCGAAGGTGAAAAAGTTTCAATGATAACATGCATCGATACAAAGTTAGCACATGGTCAAGTGGAACAATGGCTTTCAGAAGTATGAAATTTCTTATTTCTAATTACTAATTCTTAAATATTTTATTTGATGACTATATACTATTATTATTATTTCTTAATTTGACATACAATAACATATATTATTGATGAGCTCTTGAGCATAACTGCTTGGGACCATAGCGGGTTGTAACCCTGCTCAAGTACCTTTCTTGTGAGCTTGCGCAATATATTATTGATATTTGCTATTGTAATCTCTTTCTAATAATTGAATGATAAACTTAGATATAATTTTTTGATATATTATTATTATTTTTAATTTCAAGTAAAATGGCTGAGGGTACATTTTCACAATTAAAAATATAGAAGAAACTAATTCTTCACACTTCTATCAAGCCCAATTACAAGAAACAAAACAGTTGTTCTTTGTAGAGACAACCTTTTATTAGAGGTTAGTCTCTGCAAAGTTTTAAAATAATGGTTTTTTACACAATTAAAAGTATAGAAGAAACTACAATAGACAAGAAACTATGATTGAACATGATAGAAGTGTGTAGAAAGTGATCATTCAGTATTTGATCAGTATGTGATCACTCAGTATTTCTTTGTGAGTTGTCTGGATCAGTTAATTCCACATCAGGGAGACCCTAGGACTGTTTGTATGTGGGTGGTGGTGCTGGAGGCAGAGATTACACATCCTTACAAAAACCATTTATTATAGAAATTGCTTGCATTAATGTCAATAGGCAGTTTGTCATCCAAAGGCTGTTCAATAGTTCATTTGAAACAGTCCACATGAGGTAAAGAGGTTGGCACATCAGATCTAGATCCTTATATTGAGGGTTCATGATGACCTCAGGCAGAGACAATGACAATGAGATGGTTGGTCTTGATGCTTGCTTGGCAAAGTTGGGTGGCGATGTCAAAGTTGAGTAATGACGGGAGTGTTCCAGGCAGAAGTAACACGGATTTATCGCGCATAACAATGGGTGAAGATCTCCATCTTGACCTTGAGATTTTATAGTTTTCTCCCTCAAATCTCACCTTTTGATTGGTTCTAGTTCCCTTGTCTCACTTCCTGATTGATCTCTCCCTTGTTTCCAGGTGAAAACTGAGACCGGTTTGAGTTGCAAGAAAGGTACATTTTGAAGAGTTATTTGATACCATTCTTCAACTCTGATCAGGAGATGTTGATGGAATTATGAAACCTGCACTTGTATTTTACTCTATTATTGCCTCTTCTCTGACATTTTAGAATTCCAATGATTTAACATGATGTCCTTTGACTATCAACCCTTCCCCCTTTTTCCGATTTTCTAATTTAGGTCAATTGTATAATATATGAGCACCCAGTGCCATAACTAGGCAGGTGCAACAGGTACACCTGCACAGGACTCCCCTTGGAAGGGGGCCCAAAATGCATGTATTTGTTTTATTATTTTACCAAACTTAATTAATTTAGGGGCCTAAATGCAAATTCTTGTACAGGGCTCATTACATGAACTAAATTACAGCACTATGAGCACCCCTGTCAAAGTTCCATCTCTCCGGATCAACATTTATCTATGATCTATCAAATGTTTGAGTTCTCGAGACTCCTCGTTTATTTCTGTGTCACGTTTGTTTGGATAACTACAGGTTTTTTCTTTCTCCTTTATATAATGTTCACTTTATTTTTGTCTCAGGAATTTTTATACAATCAATGCAATTGTTGCAATTTCAGACACATCTGGAACCTTACAATTATAGATATTAATTTTATGTTTTATAGTAGATAAAATTTTAAATTAAAGTTCTATAATTATTACAATATTTGATGATAATTTTTTGTATTTATATAACTATTATTTTTTATATGATAGGTGCAACATATGATGGTAAAGTCATTACGCAATATTATTGAACAAGCTTTTAAAGTAAATGCTTTTTATAATTTTGATTTTATTTTATTATTATATTTCAAATGTTGCATAATCCTTTAAATAAAAGTTTAGAAACAAATTTTTAAAAGTATTTTGTTAAAAGTAACATAATATAAATTATTAAGAAAGGATTATATACTGTACAAATCAAAACATTTTTGTATTTCTTTTTAATTTAGAAAAGTAAAAAATAAAGTTTATTTAATAGTCTGGTCAAATAAAGAAAAATGAATAATTATAATATAATCTTCAACTTACTAATTATAATTAATATAGAATTATAGAATTTTATATAACTGACAATTTTAAATAAATATTTTAATTTTTTAATGAAAAATTTTATAATTTACATGCTGTATTAAATTACAACTTGTCTATTAGTCTTTTAAATTGCAGCATGCTACATGTAATTCAAAATATCAAACTGTTAAGATGAGGAAGACAGAATAATTTTGTTTCTAGAAACAAAATCAAGACAAATTTTGGTTTCTAGAATGTAGTCATTTGTTATTTAAATTCATTTTTAAATTAAAAAAAATAAACAGAATATGCTTAATATGAATACATCAAGAAAATCAAAATTAGTATTATATCAAGAAATTAAATGATGTTTTTAAGTTTAATAATTCTTCAATTTAAAATTTTTTATAAAATTATCCATAATCTATATAAATAATTTATTATATTATAAAATTTTAAAACATGTCAGGGTTATGCATCAGATAACAGATACAGATGGGTGCTCTCTTGGCCTGGTCAAGTAGTCCTTTGTGTGTCTCAAATATATTGGACATCAAAAGTTCATGAAACAATTAGAAGAAAAAAGCGGAAAAGTTTGTTTGATCTCTGTGAACAACTGGATATGCAAATAACAGAAACTGCAAATATTGTTAGAGGAAGAGTCACCACCACCACACGAATAACTTTGGAAACTTTAATAGTGATCGATGTTCATGCCCGTGATGTCATAATGGAGTTAGCTCAGAAAGGTATTTCAATTTTTTTTTCATCTTTAAATATTTAAAAGCTGATAACTTAAGATACATTTATTTATATGATTTTTGTATTAATAATTATACCAATTACTGGTATCTTATATTAACAAATATTACCTCATATATTTTTGGCTTCATAGTATTATCTGTATTAAATGCTTAATTTTAAATAGCCAACTATTTAAATTTTTGTTAGAAAGCTGATGCTGTCCTAAAACAGGATGAAAATGTTCCTTTGTAGTAAATTTAAACAGTTGGTTACCTGAAATTAAGCATTTGATACGTTTAATCTTATATTAAATATTACTGTAAGATCCAATCACATTGCTGAGTAGAAATATAATGTACTGTGCATCTTTTTATATTTATGACATATATTCTTCTAAAACTGTTTAGTTTTTGCACAATATATAGTATGAATGTTAAAGCAATGGTTGCTGAACTTACTGGTTTCTATCAGATCAATGAAGTTAAGCAATATAGGTCTTGATTAGTACTTTAGCCACAGATGGCAAGGATGTTGTTATATTCGCCTAATACATGATAACTCTGATGTAGCTAAGTCTGGATAAAAGAAAGAGTTTGCATCAGGAAAAATATCTGGGAAGAAAATGATAGCCTAAACCAGGGGTGGCCAACAGATTTTGTCCCCATGCCGAATTGGAAAGAAAACTTTTTCCACAGGCTGAACCAGAGGCTGCCCTAGGAAGATTTTGAGGTGGTGTGAGATCTCATTGTGGTGTGGTCTTTGTGTTGTAAGGACAATTATAATTACCAACACTTTTCAAAATAAACACTAACAGGTTCTTTTATTTATGGATCCCAATTGATTAATGTACAATCATTACAACGTGATGGGTACAAGAAATCGCGTGGTGACGTTAACTTGGCACGTAACAATATGTATTTTCTATACACGTGATAAAATCTAACTTAACCTAACTTAAACCTAGCTTAATACTAAGGAAAATATAAGAAGGATAGGATAGCAAGAAGGAAAAGGGAAGGAAGAAACAACTTCACCCGGGACTTTCCTCGTTCTTTCCGATATGATTTTGCGCTCTAGGTCGGATCGTTTTTTATTGGCACTCTCTTCCCAACTCTTACTATGTCCTTGGATCTACTTCCTTAGTGAAGTAAAGTGTGTTCAGTTTTCCTGTCGTGGGGCCTTCAGCCGTGGGGACTCTGATTCTCTCCAGTCCGTTGCTTGACCCTCCCGAGAAATCTCTCTTTCTTCGGCTCTCAGTCAAGTCCGGAGTTCACCTCGACACGTCTTACTCTCCTCGTGTCTCCCTCGATTCTGTCTCTTCTTACCTCTTCCATTTCCTCTACACACCCTTCTTTGTTCTCCTCTCTCAGAGGGGGGTAATTTCCTGCACTATTGTTCTTTGCGATTCACAGAATTGCTAATCCCCCCTAAAGGCTATAACGGTCATGGAATGTTCTAGAATGAACACATAAAGAAATCGAAGAAATAGGGAAAGAATATTAGAACTAAAAATATGTATATACTAATAATAATAAAATAAACGTATGCTGATATGGCCACCGGCCACAGTGGTGTCACCCCGCAGAGACTAAATTTTACATAGAGATTACAGAAACATTTTTCACATTATCATGCTTTATCAACATTCTACACTGTACTTAACCCTCTATTAAAATCTCTTAACTCTAAACGCACAGTGAGTTGTTGACTTTTCTTTTTAGGTGTCAAAATTTTTCATCGAGCTATTAGGATTTCAATACCTAATATTGAGAGATTGATCGTGGGCCACATAAATTCATTAGATGGGTCGGATCTGGCCCATAGGCCGTATGTTGGCCATGCCTGGCCTAAACTGACTATCCTTTGTATAGGGAACAGATGATCAAATTTATGTAGGAATTAATGATCCATTTGTTGTTTGTCAAGGGTATTTGCTGTTAGAATCATAGCCATATATATAATATAAATCATATATATATATATATATATATAAATATGATCTATATATGTATTATATGTATGTATGTATAATTGTTATTTTTTATATTGAAAATAGTACCAATCACTGGTATCTTATATTGAATATTATTCTGAGATCCAACTGTATTTAAGATTTTTTATAAGGTATTTATTTGAAAATATATATAGTGTGGTGCAGAATTATATGCCAATGTAATTTTTTAAAAAATCTTTTGAATTATTCAGAGTAGATTGACAAAATTTTACATAATTATTTAACATTGTCTTCTAATGGCTTACACCCAATATCATCATCATAATTGATTAATCCAAACATTAATTATGCAAAAATAGCCATATCAAGGTGATGCAAAATTATACACTACCTTCTATTTATTCCATGAATTGCAAACAAAAAAAAATATTTATACATTTATTGATTTTCTATGTTTAGAAATAATTGCAAATATATCCTTTGGCATTGAAATAATTAAATTTTGCAGTCCTCTAACACTAATTTTTGCCATTCTCTTATGATGACAAATTTCAACTCTCCAACTGTTTAGAACTCTGTTCCATTTTTGGTGCCCCATAGATTTTTGATAGGGTTTGGGTTAGGAGAGCGTGCTGGCCAGTCAATTGTACTAATGTTGTTTTATGCAAACTACTGTTTGCCTTGAATATCACTTATAGCAGTATGTATGGGAGCATCATCATATCATAATTTCTGTTTTGCTCTTTTGATTTTTTGCCAGTAGAAAGGATATGTTCTGCTAGCTCTATTTTTCATAATTAGTATTATCTTTAATTATGAAAAAGTAAATTATTATTATTATTTATATTGTAGTTTATACTATATTTTTATTAATAGTTATATAATGTATTTACATATTTATTTATTTTTAATTAACTTATTTAGAATAGAAAATTAAAAGATAAATTTTACTAATGATCAGTGTCGTAGCTATAAATTTTGCCACCCTAAGTGTTTGCATCTGAAGCAGCTGCCCATTTTCTCCCTAGTTATGTCACTGCTCTCAAAGATATAACAAGTAATGGTTGTAATGAAAAAATCTTGCCAGTTCCTTCATGCTCATTATAACTGAGTTTGACATCCACCAGTTGCCAAGTGGATAATACCACTGAACACTGGTTGTGGGTTGGAACCTTGCCAATGGGCTGGCCATGTGGCATTTTCCAGGTTTTCTTTATGTTGGTAACACCTAAATAGGGGCCAGTTTCCCATAAAAGACCTCCTGGCAGGCATTCTCCTTGGCAGATCACCCATGTGTCACATTGCCATAATTGAATAAAACCAAAACCAAACCAAATTCAACTGTACTTAGAATATTGGCTGATGTTAATATTAACTAAAAGTTTATTATGATAATTTATATGATGTAAATTTTTTATCTGATCTTTTCTTTTTGTAGGAATACATTCAGTAGATGATTTTCAATGGTTAGCTCAGCTTCGTTATTATTGGGATAATTCTGATGTGAAAGTGAGAATAATCAATGCAACAATAAATTATAGTTATGAATATTTAGGAAACACCACCAGGTATGTACAAAAACATAAATTTTGGAATATTTTGATTAAAAATATTCAAAAAATTTAATTTATGTTAACTAATTAAATTAAATTAATTTTATTTCACTCTTTTTATATGCAGTACATATACAGTAGATTCTCATCAGCATTAATATTGGTTATATTAGTTTGTAATACATTAGTTTAGATAGTTAATATTATCCTTACAAGAATAACTTGTAAGGATTGATTCTAACCAATATTATTCAATACACCTCAGACTAGAAAAAATGTTGATGGTAATCGTTAACTAAATTTCCGTTAAGCAGAATTAAATGTACAGTAAAATATAGAGTTTCTGCCAAGACAAATGGTGCTGGTGCTACTAACTGGTAAATAAAAACTCGTGCTACTAACCAATAGTTGATACTAATGAGAATATAATGTATATATAAATGATATCACATTACTTTAATATATGCACTTGTACACAAACATTTACATAAACTTGTAGTTTTTTTATTTATCTACAGCTACTTTAATCATAATTTTCTAAAAGTATTTAGTAATACATTTTATTCTACATAATACTATATTAGTTTAGTATACAAACTACAGAGAATTGACTTGGAAAATGAATACATTTATCAATAAATTTGTTATGCTTGTATCTTGTTGATTTAAATTCAGTAAAATTTATTTGTTTTTAATAATTCATTAATGTTTTTTCTATTTTCTTTCAAAATATTAGATTAAGTCATTGATTCTCAACTGTCTGATTGTGTTGATGGCAAATTGACAGGCCAGTATCACTTCAAAAATGCTCTTACATACATAAACAAAAACGTGATATTGAAAGTCTGCATTTTTTGTATATAAAAATATGCAAATAATAATTAGAGAAATAAATAATATTTTAAAATTATTTTTCAAGATTTTGTAGCTTATCTGTGATAAGTTTGCATCATATCAGTTAAGAATTACTATTCTAAATAATGTTTTTGAATATTCAGTTTAAGTTTTGGTTTTTGTAAAATTACAAAAAGCTATAACAAAATATTTATTAAAAAAACTAGAAAAATTCATAAATTTTAAATCTATTTAAATTCATTTTATTGAACAGGAATTGGTTAGATAACAATAAATTTGCTTGTTATGAATATTAATTCATTTACAGAATTATTAAAAAATGAAAATTAACTAAACATTAACTAAATAATGTTTTCTTGTATAAAACATTGTGTTTCTTCAAATAATTGACTTATTTGGTTGAAAAAAAAACTGATTCTAAGCCAAAGAAGTTAGTAATCATCCCAGATGTAGTTAAGTGCAAATCAAGATCCATATTTAACTGTCATTTTGAGCAAAATAGCAATAATTAATATCTTAATGTATTATTTTATAATGTGAAAATCATGTGAGTGTACAATTTTCCATGTGAAGCAGTACGCAAATAAATAATAACAAATATTTATTTCTTCTACCATGCGATTGGAAAATCTACAGGATTCTTTTTGGATTCCAACTCTTAGCATTATACAACGTCCAAACTTGGAAGAGGAATCAAGTAGTTACAGATCAAAAAAACGTGCTCATGACAAATAAGAAAAGATGGACTTGTAACTTTATAACTAATACTTATCCTAAATTATAAACTAAAAGAGGAAAGGAAGAATAATGAAAGGTCTTAGAACGACAGAGAAGGTTATAAAGAATACCCATGTTTTGTTTGGTGCCAATGCTCTTCTGGTGGGGAACCGGTATGAATTGTTTTCCTTTTGATTGTTATTTGGATCTCTTTGACAATTTTCCTTATATCAGGGATGTTTCTCTCTCTCTTTACATTGCTGTCTGTAGGCCACCTTTGTCTCCCTTTGTCTTTCTAGACGACGATCAGGAGCGCAACTTTTACATGTCAGCCTTCCTCAAGAGTCCGACTCAAGAATGAACCTTTTTATTGTTCATGTAGCCCCAGGGTCTCCCTTTCCATTGTTCATTTAGTCCCAGGGTCTCCCTTTCCATTGTTTATGTGGTTCAGGGAAAGGGTTACCCCACCCACAGGAAAGAATGTTAGTAGAAAATTTGAGAAAACAAAAGGAAGAAGAAAGAAAACCTAAAACAAAACTTATATCTAATATATACAATAATATGGCGTATTGCCACAATAAAAGTGGAAACAATGTTGATTTCAAATATATGTGATTTTGTTTTTAAAATTATACACTAATAATCAAGGAAGTAGTCAAAATAACATACAGGCATACATCACTAATGTGAGTAGCAGGGGGTCACCGGGTCGAACCCTAATGACCACTTAATCTGCACGGGTCAGGAAGACCCGCTCTCGGTTGTCGGATGGCAATAGGAGGGCTAAAAATATGAGTGGGGAGGAGTTGGAAGTCGTGACCAGGTGTCCAAAAGACTACACGGGTTTAAATTAACGAACACATTTAATAAATAACTAAGAAAATTTACACAAAGATGTTAAATACAACATATGTGAATCAAGATATAAATAGGTATTCTAAAAACTATTCTAACCTAACGCTAAAATCCGAGAGAGAGCTCACGTTAGAGAGAGATAAATTATAATCGCAAGGGTTTACCTTGAAGGCAACGTTCTCCAATTATAGGGCGTTAATAAAACACTCTGTGTTTTATTCTTGTTTTCTGAGGTTCCTTTGAAGGTTATGTGGAGCAATGTCCTTCTACGGTGTATGCTCCGTCTCTCCTAATCTGTAGAAAGTTCTTCCTGGTGAAGTTCGCTCGGAGGTTTCTTCTGTTAACCTCTTCGAGGAGTAATTCCGTCGTATATGAAGAGAATAGAAAAATATTCAAAGTTTTTACCTTTGCAAGGAGCGGCGATTATGAGCTTCGTAGATCCTGAGAGTGCTGGCAGATCTTGCGTCGATGTTTCTTCCCCAACGATCGCTCTTGAGGTTTGCAGAGGGGTTTCTTCGGCTTAAGCACCCTGGCTCAGCGCCGAGTAGAAAATCCGACCCCTTTATATACTCTTTAGCGTGGGAAAATCTGCTACTCTTTTGACAGTTCTCCAGATTTATGACAGTCTCCCCCGTCGTGGGTGACGACAATGCAGACATTGCTTGACCAATTAATGTTAAATTCGTCATCACCTAGGGAGATGACTTACCATTTTAGGTAATGTTTCTCATTGTACAGATGACCTTTTTAGGAAATCTTCTATACTATATCCGCACCCTGCGGTTCTCCGGGGAGCTTAAGCGGTTGACCTAGACGACTTCGTCCTTCAAGGTCAGTTAGTTGCGTTGTTTCTAACTTTGTCCGGGGACTATTCCTCAGGCAACGGGGTGAAAATGGGAGAAATAGTCGGAAATAACGGAAAGGGGAAAAGTCTATTCGACTTTTTATTCTTCAAAATCCTTATATGACATCCAGATTCTCACACTAATATGGCAGGTTAGGTTTCAGATTATTTCCTTAAATTGAAACAATTTTTTTTACTTGCCAATGCATATTTACAATATCCTTTATTAAGTGTGTAATACTGAAAATACTAAATAAAATAACTCAGAAAATTCTCTTCAAAGTAAAGCAGTACTGAAAATAATAAACATGAGTATAACTTGAAAAGCACCATATTAGCAAAGTATGCGTGTATCTTAATATTCATAACTGTTGCACATATAACATTACACATGTTTTTTGTATATTTATATATAAATTTATTGATTTACTTAATAAATTTTCATAAATTATTATAATTTTACATTCTTAAATTCTAATTAATTATTTGTCTTTTTATTTTGAATTAAATATTTTAATCCAATTATTTTAGATTAGTTATAACACCATTAACTGATAGATGTTATCGCACCCTTGTTGGTGCTTATTCTCTTCATTTAAATGGAGCACTGGAAGGACCTGCAGGAACTGGAAAAACAGAAACTGTTAAAGATTTAGCCAAAGCAATTGCTGTACAATGTATTGTTTTTAATTGTTCAGAAGGTTTGGATTATATTGCTATGGGAAAGGTAGATATTTTAATTTATTATAATGAATTAAAATTAATATTATAATTTTAAAAATATGAAAATATCTGATAAATTAACTTTTAGTGAAGTTTCTAAAGTTAGTCAATGTTTATTTATTTTTATGTCACAGAACCAAAGTTAAAGTACAAAATTATAATGGCTGAATTCAGCAGACTAAACAGTTCTGGAGCTGTTGAATATTTTTTAGCTGAATGCCCTTTACAGTAGTGCTCTTTCGGAATGTGTTTGGGGTTTTGACGTCACATTTGATAGCGTCTTTCATTTACGCTACCTGTGGCCGTCGGCCATAGTTTTATATATATTTTTGTTAATTTTAGTTAGGCTTAGTATCTCCTCTGTTCTTTTGTCTTAACTGTTCTAGAACTTTCTCCCTTAATCCCTATTCCCTCGGGTGACATCACCGATTCTGTGAAACAATGTCAAGAAGACAAAAGGAGCAATAACCCCCTGGAGAGGAGGCGAGGTGAAAGAAAGGAGAAGTGGCTGCGATTTCGTCGAGAGAGGACGAAAACGAGTGTGGTCCTGACCGAGGGGTCGAGCAAGAAGTAAGAAACCTTGCGATAGAAAACCGAAGGAGGATCATACCCTGATCGCATAGTGAGAGATCAGAGGTATCGGAACCTTGTAAGACGGCTGAATTATAGAGGAACGTAGGGCAATTGCTAAAGAAATCGAGTTCCCCCATGTTCAAGTAACGGCAAGCGGGAAGACCACAAGACAACTTCAGAAAACGTAGACGTTCATAAGAGGAAAGAAAATAAGGTCTGCAGTCATTAAGAATTTCAAGACGGTGAATCATCCGAGACCACGTGGCAGAAAACTCCCGGGTATTTTCTCCTTTATTCTACTACTATCCCTATCTATATTTTATTTCTCCTTCCTTAGTTTGTAAGTAGGTTAAGTTTAGCTAGAAGTCATGTGTCGGTTGCCACAATAGAGGCTTGTTTGTGTAGACGATTATTGTATGTACATGAACCCAATAGTCTGTAAGTTGGAATCATTTTAAAGAACCTGTGTTTGATGAATAAAAAAAATTTTGTATTTTTACTCGTTATATATGTTTCCTGTCTGCAATAATATATTGCCCTCAAACGAAACTTCACAACCTATTGCTATCTTAAACTGACAATGAGGTCTTTTGTTCTAACACAACATCACTCATCATTTAGCAGATCCAGATTGCTACATCACTGCTATCGATTTTCTCAGTTACAACTGTTGAGTCTGCTGAACACAGCCAATTTTAAATAAAGATAAGAAACTTTAGAAAAAGAAATCTTTAAACTTAAATAATATTTTAAAGACTTTTAATGACCAAATGGATAAAGATCAAACTTTCAATTGATGATTACTCATCATGTTCTAATGAAACAAAAGAAAAGAGTATACATTTTGACATCTTAATTTTCATATTTTTAATACTGTTTCTTAAATTTGTTCTGATTAACTGCTTTAATTATTTTAATTTTTCATTTTTATTATATTTAATAAATGAAACAAATGTTTCCATTTTGATGTTTTATATTTATTGTTATTTCATCAATTCATTGTTTTTCTTAACAGTTTTTTAAAGGCTTAGCATCAACTGGAGCTTGGGCATGCTTTGATGAATTTAATAGAATAGAAGTAGAAGTTTTATCTGTAATTGCACAACAAGTAATTATAATGATTTAATTAATTAATTTAATTTTAATTAAATACAACTGATATTTTGTAAAATTTAAATATTAATTCTTAAAGATCCTGAGCATCATTCGAGCAGTACAAGCTGGTGTTCATAAATTACTGTTTGAAGGAACTGAACTTCAGTTCAATCCCAATACCTACATATGTATTACCATGAATCCTGGATACAGTGGACGTTCAGAATTACCTGATAATCTAAGGGTATTTATTATTTAAAATTAAATTGTGTAGTATATGAATTGATTTATTCAATTTATAAATAATAAATTTCAAAATGGTACTTATTTCTAACATTTTTATTACATGTATTAATATTTTTTACAATTTCATAAATTATTGTGGAAAAATCAACTATATTTAAATATTTTCTGAATTAATATTATTTTATGTTTAGACCAGTTACAAAACACATAGCAAAATTCTACAAGAAACTTATTTTCAACAGTATTTTTAAATTAAAAGTAAACTACACTGTTATAAATCCAGCAAAATTTAATAAAATAGTAACGTTTTCAATTGTTTTCAATACACAAGACAGCAGGATGTTAACATCCAATGGGATCAAGTGGCAATTATAAAAATGATGATGAATAGGCAAACAATCAAACATCTTGAGAGATTGGAAATCTACAAGGCACACATGGGCACCGGCTGTATAAACCATAGAGACATAGTCTCATTGTCTAACGCGTGGAGATCCTTTTACAATAGCTAATTTTTTTCGCTATTTATTTTGTTTGTTTATTTTTCTTTAGTTTGTCTGCTAGGGCATTTTCTGTTAATTTTTATTTTTATATCATTATTTATTTCAAATGCATTTTATGTTCTATATTTAATATTCTATTTTTGTAACTGATGCAGATAGTTAAAAGCGATTGAAAATGTTATTATTTTATTAAATTTTGCTGGATTTATAACGGTGTAGTTTATTTTTAACTTATTCTACTTCCAGTACATAGTTCTTATAGTATTTTTAAAGTTAAATATAATCAAATCTTTTATTAACATTTTCAATAATGAGTTAACAACATTAAAATAACAATAAGTAGAAAAATTAAATATTCTTTTTCTAAATGTAACTGTAATAAAGTGAGTTCATATTGATAAAACTGTAATAAGTAGAATAAAATGAATATTTTTTTAATACTATATTTGGGTGTACTGTTCTTGTGTTAATTTTATTTTAAGTCTTAAACTCTAAAATATTTGTTTGGTTGATCTCTTCTGTGAGATGCATATTTTTCTTTACTGATAAAGGAGTGCATGATTAAAAGAATTTGCTGACTATGGTGGTATGACTTAGATACTAATTGGTTCTAGAATTTTATTATAAATAACATATATAACTGAATTTGGATATTTTTAATATTTATTCTACAGTTAATTACAGAAACAGCCATTAATTATAAACAACTTTAAATGTGATCAAAGGAAAACAATTAGCAAAAGCAACTTTTAAGCAATAAATTTTTCCAGTTATCTTTCCTTATTTATTCTTATTATTCATTTTATAACTTCAATAAAAGTAAAATGAATACAAAATGTTAAGTGTATCATTTATCACTGAATAGAGCAATTAAATATGTTTTTTTGTAAACATTTTACAATATTTCAAATAATTTGAATAATCTAAAAGTTACATTATTTTTAATAAATAAAAATTTTTATTTTTTTATTATTTAAATATTATATAACTTTGAATTTAGAGTCTAGAAATGTTCAATTTATTGGTATATTTATGAAGTGTAATATAAAAATTTTTACTCCATTATATATTTACAGTAAAGCATCGATTATCCAACACAATTGGGGACTGGGGTTGGTCGGATAACTGAAAAAACGGATAACCGAAAAATATGAAAAAATACATTATTAGTATAGTATATTAGTATATCCCATGTAATTAGTATATTAGTATATCGCTATTAACCAACTTTGCGTTGAATTTTCATCGATGTTAATCCTAACAAAATTTTTTTTAAAATAATAATCGTCGCTATTGTATCGTTAAAAATTATTTTAAAATATTTTATTGCTCACAAAACAAACCACCACTCATAATTAGAAATTAAGCCTCGTTTAAATACTGGCCTTCCTTTCATGGTCAAGCCAGTGTTGCCAGCTAAAACACGCAAAAATTTAACAAAAATAATATTAAAGTATCCAAGACAAATATTGTAGCGCCACATCACTAGCGGACATTTGAATTTGCCAACTAGAACGCGGTTGGTTAACCGACTTGATGGTTGATTGGAAGTTGGATAATCGATGCTCTACTGTATAACCTTTGTAAATATGTATTGTAAGTTATGAAGTCTTATAAATAATGAGAAACTTTATTATTTAAATTATTTTAAAATATAATACTTATTTAATAATATATATATTTTATATATTATTATTTTTTTATATATTATATATTATTATTTTATATATATTATATATATAATAATAATATAATAATTTTTCTATTGCTACTCTTTTTGTTTTCTGGAGAACAAGAGCGTTCTATCAATGCCTATCACAGTCTTGTCAGATGTAGTTGTAGTTGCCAATTAGTAAGGGATAGGGTTTAAGATGTTAAATTTAATAGTTAGGTATATATAGAAAATTTTTCAGTGGCAAACTAAGAATATTTTTCAGATGAACTAACTTATTTTGTTTAATAAGGTCTGATTATGTGTAATTTTATTGTAAAATGTATTCAATTGTAAGTCACAATTTTGTGATGGCCAGGATGGTTAAGATGTCTGCCTACTGCTTGGGATATCTGGGATTGAATCCATGCATGTTAAAAAGAACCTAGATTAGAAGTTTAGAAATGCTTCATTTAGTTCTCCATAATTTTAAATTTTAATTATTAAAGTAATTTAAATTCATTTTAATATATGAATAATAATGTTGAAATGTTCTTAAAAATGCTTTTGTTTAATTTTTTTTAGGTTTTATTCAGAACTGTTGCAATGATGGTTCCTGATTATGCAATGATTGGAGAGATTAGGCTGTATTCAGGAGGATTTGTTGATGCTCGCAACTTATCAAATAAAATTGTAACAACCTATCGTCTGTGTTCAGAACAGTTATCTAATCAATCACATTATGATTATGGTATGCGATCAGTGATTGCAGTTTTAACAGCTGCAAATAATATGAAGTTAAAGTTTCCAAATAAAAAAGAAGAAAAATTGGTAAATTGCATCTATTTCTAAGTATTTACAATGCATAGTTTTTATAAGATAATTAGACAATAATCATTTTAATGTACGAGGGCTGTTCAAAAAGTATCGAACCTTTGGTCGGCAAAAATACATTTATTGATTTTGAGGTACAAAACCCTAATCCCCTTCAAAGTAGTCTCCTTGGTAATGTATACACTTCTCCCAGCATTCCTGCCATTGCTGGAAACACTGCTGGAATGCATCTTTTGGAATGGCCATCAGCCGGTCCATTGCATTCCACACGATGTCTTTTCTCGACTAAAGTCGGGTTCCTTTTAGCAGCATTTTCAGCTTGAGAAATAGCCAAAAGTCACACGGAGCCATGTGGGGAGAGTACTGAGCGTGATGAACCACAGGAATGTTGTGTTTGGTGATGAAAGCCCGAATCAGATGCGCAGAATGGGCGGATGCGTCATCGCGATGGAGCTGCCAAGTTTTGATCGACCACAGATCTGGTCGTTTGCATCACACAGCATCGGAAAGATGATGAAGGACCTCCTGGTAGTATTCCTTTGCGATGGTTTGGCCTTGTGGTGCGTACTCACGATACACCATCCCATGAGAGTCGAAAAAACTGTGAAATGACCTTGATATTGCTGCGGACCTGCCGTGCTTTTTTTTTTTTTTTTTTGCCTTGAGGATCGTCCTCGAAAGCCTGCTGAATCTTGCGAATGGTTTACGCTTGGGTATCACCAAGGTTTTTGGCAAAATTTGATGTAATATCACTGCTCACGTTGTTCAGTCATTTTCCAACTTAGTGGAATCCGATGAGCGCTCACTACATGTCCTCACTCATAGGCCGACTGCCAATGACTGATGCTTCCTGCAGGTGGGAAAAAATTCAGGGCTGTGCATGACTGTCCCCTCCACAACTCCACTGAAAGAGGCCTCCAGCGCATCATTGGTTTACGTGGAAAAAATAAAAGTCTGATACTTTTTGAACAGACCTTGTATAATATTATAATAAACAATAATAATGAAAATGTAAAATTTTACAAACTGCTTTGTTTTTTTCAATTTTTCACTATTTTTAAGACGGATATATTGTCTGAAATTATATGAGGAGTAATACAAACACATTGAAAGTATAGTGTGATCATAAAGAGTAGGTATTCAGAGCGCTCTGTAAAAAGAACTATTGGGCAAATCTTAACAAAATTTGATGTGCAGTACATTCTATCTTGAGAATGTCATTTTAATTTTCAAGAAAAAAATTTTACTTTAAAATTCAGCTGCTATGGTAAAATTTGATGTTGTCCTTTTAATGTGCATATTATTTATGTTTCATAACAAATTTCAAGAGTTAAGAAACAAAGTGCAATAATTTTAATTCAATTACAGATGTGATTACAAATTTGGAATGTGGAATTGATGTATACATAAAAGATATGGTCCCATGTGCCCTCCATCTCCATGTTCTAAAAACTACATTTATTATACAACACACTCCAAGATGGCTTCATCATAATTGATTTGCATGGAGTTGTCTCACATGTTATGAAATTCTGACTTTTAAAACAGCTAGATAAGTAATATTACCTTATAAATGAGATGTAGTTTCATAACCAGATCACTGGAGTTCAGGTCTGGTGGTTGTAATTGTAAAAATAATGCAACATTTTTTACATGAAAAACTGGTCAAGGCTTGAACATTTAAGCTGATGTGGTGGTGTGCCACCTTGCATAAAGATTGTGGTGTTCAGATAATTATTCTGTTTCAGTGCTGACAGTTATGTATGACAAAGTTTTGTAGCATATTTCCATATTTAGTGACATTAAAAGAACATGTCTTGGCCCACTTACAGAAATTTCATCAAAAATTAAGGATTAATGCTGTGAAACTACACTACACAATTATCTTTGATAGTGCAATGGAATTTATTGGTGAATGTGTGGATTTTTTTAGACCAAATATGACAGTTGTGAGTGTTCACATTGCTGTACAAATAAAAATGAGCCTGATTGTTTTACAGAATTTGTCAGAACACCATCAGTCATCATCCAATCTACAAATATCATGGCTAACACTTTCTGTTTATTATCATCACCAGAAACCAATTCTTGGTTGTGGGATATCTTGTACAGATAAATATGAAAATGCCTTTACAGAACTTTCCACATTTTTGTGTCTGATATATCTAATTTCCATAAAACTGTTGCCATGAAAATTTTATATTTTATGCTCCACTACTACAGTAGCAATGTTTTTTTCAGATATTAATAAAAATTGTAATCTCATTCTGATTTCACAGCAAAAGTTTCACTTTTCTCAAAATGCAAAATCATTTTCCTAAGATTTTCAATAGTCAGAAGACTTCATAAATGTTTTAGTGCCAAAGATTCTTAAGTGTTGAGCTGGCAGTACTGTTTCATTGATAGAAGAGTTTAACAAGTAATGCATGATCAGGCAAACTGAGCATCGTGACTGTTCACCTGAATTAAAATTGTTATAATAAGAATTTGAAGATGTAATTTTTGCATTTAATAACCAATTAAAATTTATCATCAAAACTTTTTGTTTTAAAGACGTAAATGATTAAACTTTGTTCTAAAAATTTCATTTTGCTTTCATATATACTGTAGACTTGAATTACTGTGATCATGGATATTGTTATCATCCATTTAATGTTAACAAATTAACAGTTCCCAAAACAGATAACTTAAAAAAGTTTCTTGTTTTTATCTGTTTTGCTTATTGTAACCAGAGTTTGGTTATTGTTATCATTATTTTTGGATAAATAAGCATTTTTAAACTCTTTTCAAGTTGTTAATATGTGGCTGATAATATAATTATTCACAGTTATTAGTCTTATTGAGTACGTTAAATGTTAAACATTTTAATTATATGCTTGCAATGTAATAGTTTAAATTTCTGGCATTTCTTACTTCAGTTATTCTTAAGTTATGCATTTTTTAATTATTTTAACATCTCTTTTTAATGCCAGAGTGAATAAAATGAAAATTTTTACTGTTTGTAGTCTTATTTTCACTTAATTCATCAGTCAGTTATTGCTTTCAGTTATTGATAACTAAGCAAGTCCCAAAATGATTATAATAAACAGGATCTAATGTATTTTTATATTAAAAGGTTACTTTACATTATAGAGTATTTAATCTATTATTCAATTTAATTTCAGTTATTAAGATCCCTTTTGGATGTAAACCTACCAAAATTTCTCTCTTGTGATATACCACTTTTTCAAGACATTATTTCTGATCTTTTTCCTGATACAGAAGCTCATCAAACTGATTATACTGTAAGTACAAAAATTAATAACTTATTATTCACAAATTAACAACCTTTTGTTTTTCGTGATTTTTAATAATATCGATTGCTCGTTCTGTGAATAAATGAGTAGCATAAATTCCCTTATATTCTCTGGCTACTCTTTCGTTATCTCTTAAGGAATATCCCCAGGCATACTGAAACACAATAAAAACAAAATACAATTATTTGATAATAATTTATTATGAAATATATTTAGATTTCTAACTTTGAAATTCTACTTAAATTACCTTTAAANAAAATTATAACATATTATTTACAGGAATCACCTATCAAGTTTAATATGTTTTACGACTGAACAATGATATACAAATATTACTCAAAAATCATTTAAATCAGCATTTGGAGCCATGTTTGTCGTAAAGTCAAAAATAAACCAAACTTTTGATGTTACCTAGGAAAAACTGTAATTGTGAACATTGATGCATTTGAACATTTACTTAGATATATCAGTATTTGTTTAGCACATTGTAAATGCCTGTATTCAGATGTATGTAGAATGCAAAACATCAAAATATTGGAGTATGTGGGTGTATTTTGGAATGACACAAATCAAGCAACAAATCAACATTAAATTCTACATCAAACTTGGTGTAAACTTTACCATAACATTTAATTTGCTTAAAGAAACTTATGATACTATTTCATATACACAATGGTATGAATGGTATAAGTGTTTTAAAGAAGACCATGAATCAACAGAGATTGATTCCCATCGATTTAGTTTTACTTTTAAAAGAAATGAAGAAATTATTTTTTGAATTTTTAAAAGAGACCAAAGGAGAACATGGGGAATATGATTGACATTTTGGGAATTCTGCAAGGCACTGTACTCACCATTCTTCACAATGATTTGAAAGTGCATTGCATATGTTCTTGTATTGTTCAGAGGAAGCAAGCATTGAACACATTGTAATTTAAATGGCTTCAAGTGCTGATTTGAATAATACTTGCATAAGATTTTGTCTACTTTTCATTCAAAGTACTGAAAAAGTAAATAAATTCAGTTGGCAAGTTTATGCCACTCTGTTTGAAAGATAAAACAAAACTGAGAGAAATTTTATAAATCAAAAACATAATTAGTAGTTTCTTAATTTATATTGAGTTTAGAAAGCTAGTAGTTTTATTTTTAATTCAATACATTTATAAAAATTGTTTCATAATTAGGATCATTAATAATAATCAGCTAGTAAATCTTTACTTGATATAATTTTAAAATAATAATATAAAATTATATTTCTATTATTTAGGAATTTATTGCTGCTGCAAGAAAAGTTTGTACTAATTTAAATTTACAGCCTGTTGATAATTTTCTTAAAAAACTTATTCAAACATATGAAATGATGGCAGTTAGACATGGGTAAGCAATATATATTTATCAAATAATGATTAACATATTTATTTATTAAAAGATTTTGAAATTTCTTGTTTATAAATATTTTGATATGAATACGTCTTTAAATTTGCTTCTGTAGTGGGAGGCAATTTAGAAAACTGATGATAACAAAATCGGGGGGATTCAGTTTGGTATTGCAGCTACATATTTATCATATACATCCAAAATTTAATTACACCACTTGTTAATTAAAGGATCAAAGAATTCATTATGTTGAGTGTGACTGTGACGCATCGCATGCAATGGAGAGGGAAGTGCCGCCATTTTGAGGTCATTTCACTGCGTCACATACTTTCCATTTAGTATACATTTTGACTCAGAGAAGCTACGACGCTTGTTTGAGTTTGAATTTACAGCTCTTGTCAATATTTATTGATTGTGTACACAAAACATTAGTGTGGAATAGTTAAGGTGAATATATATGGTGTTAAAGTTAAAAATTATGAAAACTTAATACAATGTTGGCCTATACTTGTTGAAAAGCCAAACCAAAATATAGAAATCATATACGGTTGGAAAGGGCTTCTCAGAAGCAATCGAGTGATACCCATAAAACACCATATTATAGAGTGAAGAAGTGCTGGGAACATGAAAAAACATGGAGATCTGAAGGACTTCATACTGTTAAGGAATGATTATGATAATCTCATACATATAATAATCTCAAAGAAAATATTACCCGTCATTGGTGTAGCAAACATAACTGGCACCCGAGGCATGACACTTTATTGATGCCCCTCCCTCCTCCAGAAACACATATAGTTTGTCTTGGAGACTATTTGGGTGCCCTCTGCGAGTGGCGCCCGGTGCATGATACACCCCCTTGCACCCTCCTTGCACCCCCCTTGCTAGGCCACTGTTACCTGTTAATGTACACTTATTCACATAAAATACATGGCCATGTCCCTGACACAGCCACACCCCACTTTTTTTACATAAGTTATTTATCTAAATATATAAAATTACTTGTCCTGACTGACTGAGTCACTGATTGATTCATCATCGCCCAGAGCAAACCGCTGAATTTAAAGAGGTGAAATTTGGTACACAGTTAGGGTATGTCATGAAAACGCACACTAAGAAGGGATTTTTCAAAATCCCCCCCAGGGGGAGAGGGAGAGCATTAAGTCTTAACCGGAAGAATGGCTTCTACTGTACTATTTTAGATGCGATTTTCTGTTTTTATCTGCGTTTTTGTAGGGTACACCATGGCAATGCACACTAAGAAGGGATTTTTCAAAATTCCTCCGCGGGGGAGGGAGGAGGATTAAGGCTTAACCAGAACAACAGCTTCTACTGCACTATTTTAGATGCAATTTTCTGTTTTTATCTGTGTTTTAGTAGGGTATGCCATGAGAATGCACACTAAGAAGGGATTTTTCGAAATTCCCCCTGCGGGCGGGAGAGGGAAAAGATTTAGTCTTCATCGAGTACTTAGGTGTATTAAATTAATAACATTTCAGACATTGGTATAAATATTTTTATGTATTTCGATTTTAAAAATGTTCGAACCGTTTTAAATTTAAATTTGTTATTGCATATTGGTTTGATTATAGAACGATTGTAAACGTTCCAGAAAATTGATAAAATTGAAAATAGTTCGTTTGATTTTTGGCAATTTTCATCATTCTCAGCGGTAGGTGTTATATAACAATTACCATGGTTGTTGAAATACTGAATATAAATGGGGTTTGCTTGCAAAATCCATGCGGGCAAAGCCGCTGGTAACAGCTAGTTTAATATATTGTGATAAAATATATATTAAACAGTGGGGAGAAGGTAACAATCATAAATAATTCAAATATATTTCTTTCTGATACATAGATATTCAAAAATTCAAACAAATATGAATCAAAAACTGTACATGTAAATAATGGATGATCCCTTAGCAAATTTCTAAGTTTATATATTTTTGCTAAAAGATCATTTATTAATTACATGTACAGTTTTTGAGTCACCATCAGTCAACCTCCTTCTCTGTTGTGTACACTGATATACTTTTTGCAACTTCCTCAGGTACATGTACAGTTTAAGGGACTGTACCTGTAATTAATAGAGCCCTGAACTTTGCTATATTTCTAAATTATCAGATTTTAAATTGACATTAATAAAAATTAAAAAATAATAACATTCTAAGTATATATTTAACTGATAAAGATATTTTTTCTGTTTAATTAAAAATAATTAGACACTGAAAATCTTTTTAAAATTTACTAATGATAATATCAAAATTATAATTAAATAAATTAGAAAGTAAAACAACTTTATTCATTAGTTTCATGTTATTGGGAGGACCAGTTGGAGGGAAAACTACAACATTGAGAGTTTTAGCTGAAACACTTAATAACTTAAAAGAACAAGGAGTGGAAGGAGAAGAAAAAGTTTTGTACAGAACAATTAACCCAAAGGCAATTACTGTGGGTCAGTTATTTGGCCAGTTTGATGTTGTTTCTCATGAGGTAAAATGAATAGTAAAATTAAATTGTTAATTATAATAGAATTTTCAGTTAAATTAAAATGGTTCTTTATTTTAATAATTATACTTTCATTTATGCTTTCAGTACAAGTAAAAAAAATTTTATTTTTATAATTTATTTATTTGAAAAATTGATGTAAAAAAAGTTATACTGATAATAACATAATGAAAATTTCAACAGAAATTAATTAAAAATTATAAAAATATAGAAAATAAAGATATGGAGTAAACATTATTTTTTAATGTTTCAATTTATAATATCTTAGTAAAGTTCATATAGTAACTTTACTAATATATCAATCCACTTGGATTAGCAGTTGTATTACTTACTCCATTCTCATCATTTTCATTGAGAGAATAACATACTCTTTACTTCTGGAATTCATTCAGTAAAGTCAATTCATGTTTTGTTTATCCTTGTTATGATATTTGCTAATGTGACAGCTTGATACTGCTGAACAGTTGACACTAGAAGTGTTTTCTTTATGCTATTATAAATAAAAATTTTATGCAATTATTTATGTTTTTCATTTACTTAAGCATACAAATATAAATTAGGAGTTAATAGGAATATCATAAGATTATTTATATGAATTGAATAGTAGATAGTTTATTGTATTTTTTACATCATGTTACAAGATAATTGATGCTACATGATCTTTTGAGACTTACAAGAAAACTTCAAATTATTTAGAAACTAGTAAGGTTTTTATTGAAACAAATTAAGACCATACATTTCTGAGTAAATATATTTGAATCTTCTATGGAAATTTTGACTCCAAAAAATATGTTAAAAATGAACATGTTAATAATGTATATTTGTGATCAATATTTAGCAATTTTAGTTATTTTTAAATGCATATTAAAAAATTGAAATATATATTAAATAGTTCATACTTTTGAATTATATTTTTATCTAATTTTGATGTGTGTTATCAAAAAGTATTATATTTAATAAAACATTTAAAAAGTTTTTATTTAATTTAGTGGACTGATGGAATTACTGCAAGTATCTTCCGAAAGTTTGCTGTTGAATCTTCAGAAAGAAAATGGATTATATTTGATGGTCCTGTAGATACTTTGTGGGTAGAAAGTATGAACACTGCACTTGATGATAACAAGAAGGTAATTCTCAATTGAGAACAATAAAATTAATGAGTTAAAACAATATATATTATTAAAAACAGCAAAGTTGAGTTTTAATGTAAAACAAGAATTATTTAGTTAGCTTATAGTGTATGAATACATAATAATAACATATAGGAATACAAAATAATATGAGTTTATAGGAGATCAGGGTAGAAATACAATTAGATTTAACAAGAGATTTGATTAATGAAGTTATTAATGAGTTCATGAAGCCAATTTTATAGTAATACTAGCTGCAAGGACCCGCTTCGCTGGGTTTTTATTTGTATTTAACGATAGTGAAGATTAAGATAATTACATTATAGCTAATCTTACCTGTTTTCACAGAATGCAAGAATTAGGTCCCCCGTTTCCAGACTAATTAGAGAATTTTTATGTTTAGTTAAACGAACTATTTTCAACGTTTCTGGAACGTTTACGATAGTTCTATAATCGAACCAATATTCGAATTTTATGTTTGAATTTAATTCAAATAANTTTTTTAATTATTTTAACATCTCTTTTTAATGCCAGAGTGAATAAAATGAAAATTTTTACTGTTTGTAGTCTTATTTTCACTTAATTCATCAGTCAGTTATTGCTTTCAGTTATTGATAACTAAGCAAGTCCCAAAATGATTATAATAAACAGGATCTAATGTATTTTTATATTAAAAGGTTACTTTACATTATAGAGTATTTAATCTATTATTCAATTTAATTTCAGTTATTAAGATCCCTTTTGGATGTAAACCTACCAAAATTTCTCTCTTGTGATATACCACTTTTTCAAGACATTATTTCTGATCTTTTTCCTGATACAGAAGCTCATCAAACTGATTATACTGTAAGTACAAAAATTAATAACTTATTATTTTCATTACTCTATTATAAATTTTATTTATTTATTTATTTTTACAAACAATATCTAACAACAATTACAAACAACATTTAAATCATTATTTTTAATTAATTGTTACTAATACTAAATATTTATTAAAATCTTTAAAAAAGTCATGAAATAAATTTTTGAATAATTATATTTAAATTTATTATTAAAAATTATAACATATTATTTACAGGAATCACCTATCAAGTTTAATATGTTTTACGACTGAACAATGATATACAAATATTACTCAAAAATCATTTAAATCAGCATTTGGAGCCATGTTTGTCGTAAAGTCAAAAATAAACCAAACTTTTGATGTTACCTAGGAAAAACTGTAATTGTGAACATTGATGCATTTGAACATTTACTTAGATATATCAGTATTTGTTTAGCACATTGTAAATGCCTGTATTCAGATGTATGTAGAATGCAAAACATCAAAATATTGGAGTATGTGGGTGTATTTTGGAATGACACAAATCAAGCAACAAATCAACATTAAATTCTACATCAAACTTGGTGTAAACTTTACCATAACATTTAATTTGCTTAAAGAAACTTATGATACTATTTCATATACACAATGGTATGAATGGTATAAGTGTTTTAAAGAAGACCATGAATCAACAGAGATTGATTCCCATCGATTTAGTTTTACTTTTAAAAGAAATGAAGAAATTATTTTTTGAATTTTTAAAAGAGACCAAAGGAGAACATGGGGAATATGATTGACATTTTGGGAATTCTGCAAGGCACTGTACTCACCATTCTTCACAATGATTTGAAAGTGCATTGCATATGTTCTTGTATTGTTCAGAGGAAGCAAGCATTGAACACATTGTAATTTAAATGGCTTCAAGTGCTGATTTGAATAATACTTGCATAAGATTTTGTCTACTTTTCATTCAAAGTACTGAAAAAGTAAATAAATTCAGTTGGCAAGTTTATGCCACTCTGTTTGAAAGATAAAACAAAACTGAGAGAAATTTTATAAATCAAAAACATAATTAGTAGTTTCTTAATTTATATTGAGTTTAGAAAGCTAGTAGTTTTATTTTTAATTCAATACATTTATAAAAATTGTTTCATAATTAGGATCATTAATAATAATCAGCTAGTAAATCTTTACTTGATATAATTTTAAAATAATAAAATAAATCCTCTTAAATACAAATTTAAACAATTTTTTAAAATTGAAATAACTTATATTTTTATTTAAGCCTGCAACAGTGAGTCGATGTGGTATGATATACATGGATCCATCATATCTTGGAATCCAGCCTTTGATAGACTCATGGATTGATTCATTATCCGAACTTTTGAAAATGGAACAGGAATATTTATCTTCATTTTGCAACTGGCTAATACCTGCTTCTCTTGAATTTATTGATACAAATTGCACAGTAAGAATTTTTGTATAAATTTTAAATTTGATTCTAATTTACAATTTTGTAGATATTAAATAAAAATGAATCGATTTAAAGCTCTGTAATATATTAAAGTATAAAACATTAAATATTACCAAAATTAATAAATTGTATTTTATTATATATTTAATATACATTGGTGATTTGGAAAGTTCCTTTGAATTGCACATAAGTGGCAATGTTATCCACATGAAACAGGTAGCATCATATTTGCTATTCATACAACATTTTTGTGCCAAAGAGGAAATAGAAAGTGTTGTCGCAGATGATGGAAGCAGAGAATATGGATTACAATGAAGAAAATGGAGAAAACAGAAATTTGTGCTATGATAAAGTATCTGGTAAAGAAGGGATTGAGATCAAAGCTGATTTAGATTAAGTGTTGAGGGTGTCTGCTTTATCATATTCTATGATAAGCAAGTAGGGAAGATGACAGTTGCAGCAGATGACCCACAACTGCTGTTACCCAGAAAACAGACAAAATCTATGATATGGCTGGCTGACTGCTGCTTGAAAGTGCAGGAAATTGCTTTGGTCATGAGCATCTCTGCTAACCAAGTATACAAATTCCTAACCAAAGAACTAAGCATTAATAAGGTGTCTGTGAGATGGATGCTGCATTTGCTGTCAGCTGAATAAAAATGTATGCAGGCAACAACTTCCAAAAGGAGGATTTTGACATTACCACAGGAATTTTGCATTGGTATGTGATCACACAGTGGTGCATCTAGGAGGTGGGCAAAGGGGCCCTGACACCCAAAGTTAAAGGAAAAGAAACATTTGCAAATATTCCAAAAATATTTTCCTATAATGACATGGCTTCTAGTGACTTTCACCTCTTTCCAAACCTGAAGAGGTCATCACTGAGGTGAACAGCTATTTTGCAGAACTAGGTGAATTGGCTTTTTTTGCTGGAGTGTAGGCATTGGAACACCACTGGAATGAGTGTTATTCTCAGAGATTATATTGAAAAATAAAGCAATTCAACCAGATTTTCTGTTTTGTTATATGCAATTTCAAGAACTTTCTGAGCCTCCCACATACAATAATAATAATAATACATAAAAAATTACAGAAAAATATATATACAGTAGAGCATTGATTATCTGACCCTGATTAACCGTCACATCGGTTAACAGACCGTTCTAGTCGGCAAATTTCAAATGTCCGCTAGTGATGTGGCGCTACAATATTTGGCTATGTCTTGGATACTTTAATATTATTTTTGTTAAATTTTTGCGTGTTTTATCTGGCATCAACGGCTTGACCATTGAAGGGAGGACAGTATTTAAACGAGACTTAATTTTCAAATTATGAGTGGTTGTTTGTTTTGTGAGCAATAAAATAATTTTAAAATAATTTTTTACGATACAATAGCGACGATTATTATTTTAAAAAAATTTGTTAGGCTAAACATCGATGAAAATTCAACACAAAGTTGGTTAATAGCGATATACTAATATACTAATTACATGGGATATCCTAATATAGTATACTAATAATGTATTTTTTTCATTCTTTTTGGTTATCCAATTTTTTCAGTTATCTGACCAACCTGAGTCCCCAATTGAGTCGGATAATCGATGCTCTACTGTAACTATATCATTGTTGAATAAATATAATATATGAATGTAGAAATAAATACATGTTTTGCAATATATTTTGATAAATAATTATTAATACAGTAGAGCATCGATTATCCGACTCAATTGGGGACTGGGGTTGGTTGGATAACTGAAAAAATGGATAACTGAAAAATATGAAAAAATACATTATTAACACAAAACGACTTCCAACAACTTAACACTTTGTTGAGTAGTAATAATCCACAAAAAGGTGGAGGTCGAAAGCGTTTGTGGAGTAGTTAAGAACATAACACTTGTACAGAAAGGTTTTCGTGGATTATTAAATACATTATTAGTATAGTATATTAGTATATCCCATGTAATTAGTATATTAGTATATCACTATTAACCAACTTCATGTCGAATTTTTATCGATATTAAGCCTAACAAAAATTTTTTTAAAATAATAATCGTTGCTATTGTATCATTAAAAATTAGAAAATTAAGCCTTGTTTAAATACTGGCTTCTTTTCATGGTCGAGCCAGTGTTGCCAACTAAAGCACATAAAAATAATATCAAAGTAACCAAGACATAGCCAAATATTGTAGCACCATATCACTAGTAGACATTTGAATTTGCCGACTACAACATGGTTGGTTAATCGATGTGACAGTTGATCGAGGGTCGGATAATCGATGCTCTACTGTAAATATATTTTTTGAATCACATCTCAGTTTTTAAACTGCAGTAAATAACTGTTGATTGGATAAACTGTATCAGTGATTCTCAAATGATATGCCACAGTACATTGGTGATAGAACAAGAAGTGGCTAGATGTGCTAAGAATATTGTGAAAGTATTTGTTAAAGTAAAAAATAAGTATTTGTGAAAGTAAAAAATAAGAAACCAATTTGTATAAAGATTATTACATCAATGATCAATTAATAGCTAGGCTAAGTCTCTAGGATAACTGCTATTATTGTACATAGTTATTCATAGTTCAATACCAGTATATACTAATATATTTTAAATTTCATACATGAAGTGCATCATAAGTCTGAGAACCACTGCTCTAAATGAAACATAGCATGTAAAATCAAATTTATATTGATTTTTCTTGATACATATTAGTTTCAATTTAGAAACAGACTTGTTAATAAATATTTTATTTGATGATAACTTTACAAAACAGAATTTTTTTATTTCTGACTGTATGAAGTTAACAATGATTGAATAGTATCATATTTATAATATAAAACAAAAAATTTGAATTTAATATAATATGTTTAATTTATAAAAATTTAATTAAAATTATATATGATATTTTTTGCCATTTTTATGAATAATAATAGGTATGTCTGTCTAAAAATATCCAATATAAATATAAAATACAGAAAAATATATTTATTTAAATAAGTTTTAGTTTAAATTTTTATTGTACTAAAACAATGTTTCATAATTCTTATATGTTTAAGTTCTCAGATTTTTGATGATTATATTTTATTAAAGGAATTTATATCATTTAGGAATTATTAATCCTGATTAATTAGGAATCAAACAGAGCAAATTACTGCTCTGTCTGAAAGTGCCTTGCGCAAATTTATTACCTCTCTTTCTTTAATTCAATTTAAATATAATTACTTNATTGAAAACTGTTGATAAGGTTTATCAAAATTTTAATTTTTTTTGTCAATTAAAATGGAAGTTCCTAACATAATAATTCTTTTATTATTTTACTAATTTATAATTCATTAGTTCATTGTATAAATATTTCAAAATACATCTTTACAGCAATTAATTCATTTTAACAAAAATCATCATGTTAACAACATGCTGAAGATCATGTCATTACTGATTAGTGAAATGAATTTTGAAGAGAACTTTGACAACCATTATTTAAAATCATGGATAACTGGGTGTTTTATATTTTCACTTATTTGGAGTGTAGGAGGGATGCTAGATTCAGAATCAAGAATAAAATTTAACACATTTATTGGACAAATTATAAATGGAATGTTGAAAAGTTATCCAATACCTCAAAATATTGGAAAAGTAGAAATGAAAGTTCCTCCTTCTGACTCTATATATCATTATGCCTTTGAGGTTAGTATTTTTGTTTAAGTATTATATTATATAATTATAAATTATATTTGGAATTTGAAATGAATTTTTTATAAAAATATAAATATACTTATATGAAATATATTTTTATTTTTATAGAAAATTCATTTATTTAACATTTCATCACTTGCTTAATTAATTTATTATAATTTAACATATTTCTTTACGTATAAATATTTTTATTTGATTATTCTTATCTTTCCGATTCTAGTTGTTAATAGTTCATGTATTTTGCCAATATTATATTAATTTATTACACGTATTATGTCAGTTATTATTAGAACATTAATTTTTTTCACTTAAGTTTATTTTGTACTGAATAAAACATTCAGTACAAAATAATTCTTTTATATTGTATTTTTTGTACACTATTTTTTCTGTATTATTATATTGCTGTATTATTGTTTACATCATTTACATGCACAATTTGAGATTGATATAATGATTTTAATATGGTGTAGTTAAAGTTTCTCAACAAAATTTACAAACATATTATTTCAAATTAAAATTGATCTTGTCCATTCTGCTCCATTCCTGCCAGGACATGAGTCAGTGTATTTGGTGTATAAGCACTGTATATATTATCTGCCATTAGTAGTTAGTTGCTGTCTTGGTTATCGGATTGACTGTTGCAGTATCACAGTGCTTGTGTTTGAGCAACCCTTGTTTTGCTTAATTATGGCTATAAAGCACAAGAGTAATGATGCTGAAAATTCAGATATGCTAAAGAGAAGCCATTAAGTGAAATACACACACCTATGATAAAGTTTAATTTGTATGGTGTATATACATATACATATACACACAGTGTATATAAAGCTTAGTATTATCTGCAGATTCAAGCATCCACTGGCAGGTGTCAAGAGGGAGAGCTCTGGGCTTGGAGAAAATTTAGCAGCCTGTAGTAATTTTTTATTTATAAAATTAATCTTATTTTTACTATCAGAAAATAAAATCCTTATTTGTTCAAAAAATGAGTAATAGAGGTCCACTCTACCCGATATCTTGTAAACACTCTGGGCAACCCTCAGTGGCGTCTTTGAATGTATTTCCTGTATATAAAAATGAAAAATAAATTTTGATATATTAATAGTTATGTACGTTAATTATGTAGTTTGTATTAATTTTTCAAAACTTATTTTCAGAATAAAGGCAAAGGTTCATGGAAATTATGGTTTGATTTCATACAGCCAATTGATTATTCTAAAGTGGTGAATTTACATCAGTTCATCATACCTACAATTGATACAGTTCGATATACATATTTCTTAGATTTATTTATAAGATATGGAAAGTAAGTATAAAATTGATATTCTAAAATTTATGAATAACAGTTTTCTAAGAATTTTTAATCCATTTTCTGATTTAATTTATAAAATTTGTTAAGTTTGTGTAATAAATTAATTAATTTAAGAATGGAATATGTTATTAATATAAAAGACTATATAATTTTTAAATCAATAAATTCATATAAAGAATGTACTGTTACTTTGTTGAATATTTTATGAATTTATTTTTTATCATTACAAAGTAAATTCTAAATTAAAAATTAAAATGTTTAAAAGTAAACTTGATTAAAAATAATAAAAATAAAGTAATATGTGGTCAGTATGTAATAAGATTAACATTTTTTCATAACTGCATATTAATAGATATTATTTTTTTCATTTTATAATTACAAAATAAAAGATGTGATACTAATGAAAAAATATTTGCATAGTAAAATCTATTAGAATATAGCAAATATAATTGTTAAATGTGCAGAGTGTAAAATTTCTTTTTATTATAAAAACTCGATAATGCCTGACAATATCATCTCAGTTCTTCATTAAAATAAAGAATAGTTGAGAGGATGGATAGAGATCAGATAGAAAGTGAAATATTACATTACATACATAATAATATTACATTTACATATACATATTACACAGTAATATTACATACATAAAATTATTTACATTTTTTGTTAGTGTTATTTTTGGATTTAGATTTAGTTTTCAAGATTCAGGAGATATATTTTTTAGATTGGTTAAAATCCTAAAAAAATCATAAAATTTTCTGGTAATCAGTCCTAATCCTTAGATATTATAGAGGAATATAAGATGACCACTTTTTTATTTAGTATTTGTAGCATTTGCATCAGTAAATTGTTTTAAAATCAAACTAGCAGAAAGATTTTATTAACGACTTCTGTGCCTATTGCATTGTCGTGTATGTTCCACTAACATCGCCTAATAACTAAAATAATCTCTTTTTTCACACATTCAATGATATGGATACTCTAAAAGGTGTTTGATAAGGTTTTGATAGAATAGAAAATAGTGTAGGCATTGGGATCTTAATTTGCCATTCAAGCATTCATATTCTCAAATCAATCCATTCTAATATTTACAGTACAACAATAGCATATTATGTTATTGATAAAAAGATTAGTTGCTCCAATAGTACTACCATAACATAAATAATACATAAATAATTATTTATATGTTATTATTAATAATTATGTTGTTAAGATAGAGTTTGTTTTATAAATCATGAAAGACAATCAGTGGTCTAAAGTGTAATGTGCATATCATATAGTAATTCATATCTTCTATGTATTACCAGTAGTGCATTATCCTATGGGCAAAAAGGGCAATTGCCTAGGAGCCCTGAACCAATCTTTTATGAAGTCATTACTGTAGTAATAATATCAAAATTTAAATCTAGACCATATCTCGGAAACCTCAATTGCTGGTATACTTAACCCTCCAGAGGTGAAGTTAAAAAAAAATGTATGAGGATACCAGGGAATTCTCTCCAAAAATTTCTCAAAGAAAAATGTCTTTAGCCAACACTGTAAATGGGGCCTGTAGTTCAGATTTTCCTGGATCCTATGAAGCTGTAAACATGCCACTGTGTATTACTAGTATTATATTTGATGTAAAGAAAACAGAAAACTTTTTATCAGATAAGTTTTTGACAATTATGTATATGAAATCAGATTGAAAACTGTTGATAAGGTTTATCAAAATTTTAATTTTTTTTGTCAATTAAAATGGAAGTTCCTAACATAATAATTCTTTTATTATTTTACTAATTTTAATATGAGATGTTATATTTACTTTTTATAATTTTATATTTTAAATTATGTTATTTTCACATAATTTTTAATGTTAATTTTGAAGAGAAAGTTAGAACTGTAATTGAGAAATATGTATTATATAAAGCTGAAAAACAAATTCTAGTTAGGAAGTAAGAATGATTTTTTAATGAAATACTCTCTTCTAAAACATAATTATTATATACATAGTGTGCAAAAATTATATTTTTATAAACATGTTTGTTATGTAGTGCTTCGGCACTATTATAAATTTTTTATGTTTTGTCTTGTGTTCATTTTATATCACGTTTGCATTCCTGTAACCTTTGTGTGGTCGTGTTTCACTGGTCTGTATTGGAATTTTGTATGTTGTAAAAAGTAAAAGGGGGGGTAAGTTCTGTTTGCTGTAAAACCACCTTTTAATGGCGAGGATGTATGTCGTGTGGGGATTGGTTGTTCAGGTAACTGTGTGAGTGTGATGGGAAGGCAAATGGAGGGAAGTATAAAAGCACATAACCCACATGCGTACACGATCGTTTGTTTTTTTGTTTTATGGTTTCCACGAACCTGAACTAGAGAGGACCACCGAGTGGAGATCAAGAAGGAACGAAAGGTGATGACAGACCATGATCATGCGTGAGGGGAGATTCGTCCATGAACTCGAAACGGAAATCAAGTCCATTGTTGTGAGATTGATATTCTGGAGTTCGCCAATATATGTTAATAATAGAACTTTGCGTGTATAACCTCATAAGACTATTATTTTTATATTTTTTTTGTGAACTTGTTGATGAACCACATGACCGGTATGGCTCACTTTGGAACTGCGTACCTCTGTTTTGTGAAATCGTCATGAATTGGGATGAGTCAGTGAGCGATCCATCTTGTAAAATATTTATAATTATTCCCTTTCCAGACCAAATGATTAACAATGAGTTAATCTGGTGATTGTCATGAGTGTTGGTAACTGTAGCCAGCAAGCATTTGTGTTATTCTAGGTTAAGTTCCTAATTCTTTGTTCCTGTTGAACTCAACCCGTAAGGTGTCCTTTTTGTGAAGTCATCATGCATGCATTTTTACCTAACAACAGTCTGGATTATTTCAATACATCCAAGACATTACAGTTAACATATAGACTGTAGTAATTATTATCTGTTTAAAATTAAAGAAATTAACCAGTAATTGAACATAATACATGTGTTGAATTTTAACCATGGATGTTTGAAACAAATGGTATTTGAAATTATTTATGAATGTACTATGTGAAGAATCCCCCAAAACATCTTTATGTATGGCTGAGAAATTAGGTTTAGACTGCTAATGGAAATATTTTAATGTGTTTAATCTAAAAAACAATACTACAATTTTTTAACTGAGAAAAATCAATTTCATTAGGAGAAAACTTTAAGTTAGAAATTATAACATCAAAAATTGTCTGTATATGTAATTAAATATATATATGTTGAAATTGGTGTTCTGAAACATGAAATATAAATAATTTGAATATAAGTAGCTTTTGCTAACTTTCAATGTAAATGAGATAAATGTATATATTAATAAGCTTCTTGCTTGTATTATTAATTTATAAGAAACATAGATAATTATAACTAATGAACTGGGTTTATTATTCTCCCAGCACATTTAATTAACACTTTCCAAAATGCATTTCAACTTTAATGGCACTTTTTAATTGGATTACATACAACGATAACAATTTAAACAAAATAGTCTATGGTAAGTATTGCCAACATTACAATAAATCTTAGATGTACAATAATTACAAAATATTATTAGAATTATAAAATATATCTAGATCAATAACTGACATTACTTTGTAATTATTTACAAAATGGACTAAGGAAACATATTACAGTAAACAAATGAAAAACCACTACAAGTTGATAAAATTACAATACAAGACAGGAAGGAAAATACCTTGGGATAGTCCTATTGTTTTGTTTATGGTTGTGATTATTTCTTTTTTTTTTCTGTCTCTGCATTTGTACGACATGCTAGCACAATTTTCATTTCGTAATATTTGTTCTCATTTGGACTGTTTTAAAAAATTCTATATCAATTCTTTTCACCTTTTCTGTTACAGTTATGAATGTTATTCTCATGCATATTTTTGGTCTTGATAATACTGTGATCTTACAGATTCACAAAAGNATATTTACGATAGAGGATATTCTTTGATCCTTCTTAAAATCTATTTAGGAATTAGCCTTAGTCCACCTGAGAGAAGGGAGAGAATTCTACTTACTAATTTGTAGATAGACGAGCCTTTTTGCTTATACGTCCGGTGTCGATGGTCCGTGTAGAAGGTAGTTAATCCCTTGGTTGCTGTTTTCTTGAAAGCCACCCCGATATCTGGGCCGAGCCCTCTTAATACTAATTTCGAGGGGGTGAGAACTATGACATTATTAATGATTTAGCCGCACACCTGCTAGTGTGTTGATATTTGGATCTAGCTAGTTCGGACAAATGACTCAGAGAAGTTTGTTTAATTTATTGTTATTGGTGTCAAAATGATATGATTTTATGATATAAATTCCTATAGGTTTGATGGCTCTCATCCATAAATTAACAATCACTTGACAATAATTTCTTTAACCTGGTCAACTATTTAGATATTGTTTATATCAAACATCGTGTTTGACTATGAACAAGGTGATTTATTGCCGTAACCACATGGTACGTGCAACCAAGAGGTGATAAGAAATATCTCTTATTCTCTTCTTGTTGATACCAACGTCTATAGAATTACTGTTAAACAAATAGAGATGATTTCTCTTATTGATATTTTAACATTCTCCTTTTTTTTTCTTATTCGAGGAGAGCGTCTCAGTCATTGACCGCAGAAGTCCCCCTTTTCTCTTTTACTAGGAAAATTCCTAGATTTATACTGATATAAAACAGAAAAAGGTTTTCGGACCTTCACAACTGTAATTGAGAAATATGTATTATATAAAGCTGAAAAACAAATTCTAGTTAGGAAGTAAGAATGATTTTTTAACGAAATACTCTCTTCTAAAACATAATTATTATATACATAGTGTGCAAAAATTATATTTTTATAAACATGTTTGTTATTTATAGAAAAGTGAGTAGTAATCCACTAATGCTATATGACATAATATGCATTATCCAAATTTTCAGTTTCATAATTGTGGTGTTTTGTTGTACCACGTAATTATAGTGGTTGTTTGAAATATACAAATACCTGAAGCCATGTACATTACCATGTAAATTTATTTTCAACAATATACAAAAATTCATTTTACACTATTGTTAGANAACTGTAATTGAGAAATATGTATTATATAAAGCTGAAAAACAAATTCTAGTTAGGAAGTAAGAATGATTTTTTAACGAAATACTCTCTTCTAAAACATAATTATTATATACATAGTGTGCAAAAATTATATTTTTATAAACATGTTTGTTATTTATAGAAAAGTGAGTAGTAATCCACTAATGCTATATGACATAATATGCATTATCCAAATTTTCAGTTTCATAATTGTGGTGTTTTGTTGTACCACGTAATTATAGTGTTTGTTTGAAATATACAAATACCTGAAGCCATGTACATTACCATGTAAATTTATTTTCAACAATATACAAAAATTCATTTTACACTATTGTTAGATTTACTGCTATACCTGAGTATACAATGTACAGTGGAGGGTAATAGGCAATGAACACAAACCAAATTAAGGACTTTACACTTCTTAATTTGCAGGTGAAAAAATATGATTTAATTTTTCGGGAGTCTTACAGGCATATTGATATACCGACAATTTATATCTATATCCTATACAGGCTTAAGTACTGTTAACACGTATCTATATCTACTCTCTATTCTACTACCTAATTTTAGTGATTGTACAACAAAGAACAAACAAATTGTCTTACATGTGTCCTTTGTTCAATTTGAAGGAATGTATATGCGATTCTCTTCAAAGTCTTGCTCCTAGATCTGGATGGAATTGGATTATTGTTCCTTCTTCCAACTGTCCATTCTCTTCTCTTTCCAACCACGTGCTTAAACACTTGAATCTCACTTATACCACATGTCCGACACAGTCCGAAGAGCAAGAAACAAAAAGTCCTTCTTTTAGGTGAGACACCTCCCTTTATACTTCTCCGTGGTTGACGTCACGAGTCGCAACCAATCATCCAGTCCCGCGGGTTTTACAAAATGTGGTGCTCGAGCACAAATGGAACAGGCAAAACATTAAAAAAAAAAAATAAAAACAAAACAATTTAATTTAAGTGACAGATCACTACACTATCAAGTAAAGGTTGATCAGTTAGAAGCATCACTTTTTTTTGTCATAGAATGCAATGAAATGGCATTCCACCACCTTTTTCAATATATTTTCAATATATAAGTTTTAAGAGAATTTTTGAAAATTTGATGTTTGGTCCACATTGAATCGCTCTGTTGAGCGTAGAAGATCAGCAACAAAATTATTAAGACAGTCCTGCTTTTGCTTGTGTGCCGAATCTTGTGTACGATGCATGCATACTGCAAACTTAGTTTGTGGTGACTGTGACATATTGCTCCACTCGTGTTTGGTCTTGTCATGATTTGGCGGCAATGCAGGAATCACAGTGCTAATTGTGACCGGTGATTGTCATTTTGACTGTTTTATATTTTAGCCTGGGATACCCCCTAGTGGGCGTTCCACCACCTTTTTTCCCAAAAAAAGCACTGGTTAGAAGATCATGTATAGATACATTCACTCATCATGCGGAGAGTAGCTGAGAAGAGGGTAAAAGATAATGGCAGATGGCCTGCATGTGTTTTTATATCCTCACGCCAGCACCACCTGGATTTCCAGATGCAGCGCTAAGGTTACAATTATTTGGCCGCCACAGTAATGTTTAAAATTATATTTTGGATCATACTGGATTCTTAGAATAATGTATGTATTTATGTTTGTGTAAACTGGCATAGTTAGTGCTTTGCTAATATGGTGCTTTTAAATTATATTTATGTTTATTATTTTTGGTACTTGCCTTGCTTTTAAGGGGAGTTTTCAGGTGTTTCTTTTAATATTATTTTTGTTAAATTTTTGCGTGTTTTAACTGGCAACAACGGCTCAACNTATGTATTTATGTTTGTGTAAACTGGCATAGTTAGTGCTTTGCTAATATGGTGCTTTTAAATTATATTTATGTTTATTATTTTTGGTACTTGCCTTGCTTTTAAGGGGAGTTTTCAGGTGTTTCTTTTAATATTATTTTTACTTTTGCACCTTCTTTTAGGCCAATTGCTATTATGCACTTAATAAATGATAGAGTAAATATTTTTTGGAAGCACTGACAAATGAAAAAAAGACTGTTTTGTTTTAAGATGATATTTACTTTAACTATAGTATTAATGAGGTATAATTGTAGATTTATTTTATACAATAAAAATAATATTTTGATAAAAATGTTTATAATTAATATAATATGAATTTTGCAAATTTTAGACCTATACTATTGGTTGGTCCTACTGGAACTGGAAAAAGTGCATGCATTAAAGATAAATTGTTAAATACATTGCCACAAGAATTTATCCCTCATTTCTTTTCATTGTCGACACAAATTACTGCTTTACAAACACAGGTAAATATTTTAGTATGCATGATATAAATACATAATATTTTAATAATGCTACTTTTGTATGAATAATAATACAAGGAACATATTTTTATTAAAATTAAACACTGAATACATTTTTTTCATATTCTTCCATAAGCAGTTTTAATTTTTTGTCATGGCAAATAATTCAGTTATCAATATATTAATGATAATAGCTCTCCTGATCAGTTCATTGAATAATTGAATCAGTCATTATAAACAATCAATCAAAAAATGTATAATAAAAATATTCTAGATATAATTTATATTTAGAATATTTTTAATTACGAGTATTAATTGCTTCATTTTGATTTTTATAATTTAAACATTTATACAAATGTATATAAATACATTTGTACACAAATACAAACATGTGTAAACATATGTTAAAATTTAGTTTCTTAAATTTTATTCTTAAAGTTTAAAAAAGATACTTTCTCTTACAATGAAGTGGTATAATTAGGCAATAGACTATCAACACATCTACTTTAAATATTATACATTATTTCCAAGATGCTTTTTCGGTTTAAACCCCTCTTCTATTGGTTAAAAATACAAATATAAATATTACAATATTATTAAAATGCTCTTGAAACTTACAACATGACGTACATTCTTTCTCCCTTTAAAATCTCGTTAATTTTAATCTTTACAATTTTCTACAAATTTTAGTTATTATGTTAACTATTTTTACAACAGTTTTCAAATGTAATGTTAGAATTTTGTTTTATAGCTTTATAAGCAGTTTAGTGAATTGTTACAATCATAACAATTACATTACATTGAATCAACAATTCTACACTAAAAATTTCCATTTTTTTTTTTTTTTGACATTTATGTACATATTAGCATTTACATTAGCACCATATTTTATCATATAATTTACATAATAATTCTTTTATTATTTTACTAATTTTAATATGAGATGTTATATTTATTTTTTATAATTTTATATTTTAAATTATGTTATTTTCACATAATTTTTAATGTTAATTTTGAAGAGAAAGTTAGAACTGTAATTGAGAAATATGTATTATATAAAGCTGAAAAACAAATTCTAGTTAGGAAGTAAGAATGATTTTTTAATGAAATACTCTCTTCTAAAACATAATTATTATATACATAGTGTGCAAAAATTATATTTTTATAAACATGTTTGTTATGTAGTGCTTCGGCACTATTATAAATTTTTTATGTTTTGTCTTGTGTTCATTTTATATCACGTTTGCATTCCTGTAACCTTTGTGTGGTCGTGTTTCACTGGTCTGTATTGGAATTTTGTATGTTGTAAAAAGTAAAAGGGGGGGTAAGTTCTGTTTGCTGTAAAACCACCTTTTAATGGCGAGGATGTATGTCGTGTGGGGATTGGTTGTTCAGGTAACTGTGTGAGTGTGATGGGAAGGCAAATGGAGGGAAGTATAAAAGCACATAACCCACATGCGTACACGATCGTTTGTTTTTTTGTTTTATGGTTTCCACGAACCTGAACTAGAGAGGACCACCGAGTGGAGATCAAGAAGGAACGAAAGGTGATGACAGACCATGATCATGCGTGAGGGGAGATTCGTCCATGAACTCGAAACGGAAATCAAGTCCATTGTTGTGAGATTGATATTCTGGAGTTCGCCAATATATGTTAATAATAGAACTTTGCGTGTATAACCTCATAAGACTATTATTTTTATATTTTTTTTGTGAACTTGTTGATGAACCACATGACCGGTATGGCTCACTTTGGAACTGCGTACCTCTGTTTTGTGAAATCGTCATGAATTGGGATGAGTCAGTGAGCGATCCATCTTGTAAAATATTTATAATTATTCCCTTTCCAGACCAAATGATTAACAATGAGTTAATCTGGTGATTGTCATGAGTGTTGGTAACTGTAGCCAGCAAGCATTTGTGTTATTCTAGGTTAAGTTCCTAATTCTTTGTTCCTGTTGAACTCAACCCGTAAGGTGTCCTTTTTGTGAAGTCATCATGCATGCATTTTTACCTAACAACAGTCTGGATTATTTCAATACATCCAAGACATTACAGTTAACATATAGACTGTAGTAATTATTATCTGTTTAAAATTAAAGAAATTAACCAGTAATTGAACATAATACATGTGTTGAATTTTAACCATGGATGTTTGAAACAAATGGTATTTGAAATTATTTATGAATGTACTATGTGAAGAATCCCCCAAAACATCTTTATGTATGGCTGAGAAATTAGGTTTAGACTGCTAATGGAAATATTTTAATGTGTTTAATCTAAAAAACAATACTACAATTTTTTAACTGAGAAAAATCAATTTCATTAGGAGAAAACTTTAAGTTAGAAATTATAACATCAAAAATTGTCTGTATATGTAATTAAATATATATATGTTGAAATTGGTGTTCTGAAACATGAAATATAAATAATTTGAATATAAGTAGCTTTTGCTAACTTTCAATGTAAATGAGATAAATGTATATATTAATAAGCTTCTTGCTTGTATTATTAATTTATAAGAAACATAGATAATTATAACTAATGAACTGGGTTTATTATTCTCCCAGCACATTTAATTAACACTTTCCAAAATGCATTTCAACTTTAATGGCACTTTTTAATTGGATTACATACAACGATAACAATTTAAACAAAATAGTCTATGGTAAGTATTGCCAACATTACAATAAATCTTAGATGTACAATAATTACAAAATATTATTAGAATTATAAAATATATCTAGATCAATAACTGACATTACTTTGTAATTATTTACAAAATGGACTAAGGAAACATATTACAGTAAACAAATGAAAAACCACTACAAGTTGATAAAATTACAATACAAGACAGGAAGGAAAATACCTTGGGATAGTCCTATTGTTTTGTTTATGGTTGTGATTATTTCTTTTTTTTTTCTGTCTCTGCATTTGTACGACATGCTAGCACAATTTTCATTTCGTAATATTTGTTCTCATTTGGACTGTTTTAAAAAATTCTATATCAATTCTTTTCACCTTTTCTGTTACAGTTATGAATGTTATTCTCATGCATATTTTTGGTCTTGATAATACTGTGATCTTACAGATTCACAAAAGTTACTTAATTCAGCACTTAGACAACAAGAATATTGCAACATCTATTAATATTAATGTTAATTAACTAATTAATGTTAAAGGCAACCTTTAACACATTAATATTGCTATTACTAGTTTACAATTACAATGTTAATTGCTTGTTTACGATTGCTTTTTACCTAACATCTACAGTTATCTGTTTTGGTATTCAGCCAAAATCTCCTATTCAGTTCATCACTAATTAAAATTCTAAAATTAGGAGAATTAATTTGGAGTTTTTAAATCATGTGATTTTTAAACGTTTTGTTAAAATATTTGTAATCAAGTTATATAACATGTTTTAGTTTATATTAATGAAAATGTACTGTATATCTATGTTAACAAAATAGTTAAGATGTATCATATGGAATTAATGTGTTGTTAGATGATTATGATTGATTAATATTTGAAACACCCCTTGTAACAGGTTAAATCCTAATACAAATAAACTTTACTTATTTACTTAAATCATGTAATTAATAAAATATCTGTTGAATTTGTGAGTGCTGCGTTCAAGTTGATAGTAAATTTTTTTTGAATTTCTAAATTATTATTTAAAATTAGTTTAGACAATAATTAAACTTATTAGCAGTTGATAATTATGTCTAACTTCAATAATAATATTCCTTTAATCATTAGCTTTGATACAATATTGAAATAATCTGGTAAACTGTAGTAATTGTTTACAGTTTAAATTTATCATAATTTGTCTTTAAAAATTTATAATAGAAAGATGATGATAAATAAAATAATCTTAAAATTAATTCATTACAATATAATTTTAGAATATAATTTTATCTAAAGTTGATAAAAGAAGAAAAGGACATTATGGTCCACCAATTGGAAAAAAATGTGTTATATTTATTGATGACATAAATATGCCTGCACCTGACAAATTTGGAGCTCAACCTCCTATAGAATTGTTAAGGCAATTGTTAGATCATGGATTTTGGTAAGATATTTTTGTATTTTATAAATAAACTGAAAATAATTAGTAGAATATATTGAAAAATTAATGTGTGAAAAGTATTCACTTATCAAAAAACATTTTAATTCTGATTGATTTATGTATAGAACACTAAATATTAATATGTTAACTTTATTACACATGCTTTAAACAAATAACACAACTCGTACAATTTTATCAATAAGATAGTTTTATAAACAATTCATATATATGTAAAGAAGGCTAATGTGAGATCCAGAATTTTATTAACTAAAATTTTAATTATCTTTTTCCTTATGTTTATGTAACGAATTGGAAGAAAAAACTATCTTAGTCGGGAATGTGTAATCATCATAACCATTAACATTCTATTGTCTTCACATAACTTGCAGCTCAACTTGCACAAAAGTTTATTGTTAGCATCCAAATTTCATCACTTGTTTAGGTCCCTGGAACACCTATAACCTTTAGTTCATAGACCATTCGATCACGTGATGGAAATTTCCCACAAAAAGCTATGAAAGACCGTTCTTACCCCTTCTCGGGGGAAAGCTGGACCAATGACATCGAGTCGAATCTCTGAACCCGCCGCTATTCTGATCCTCTAATACTGATATCCGTTCATTGCCAGAGTCGCAAATTTGTGTTCCTTTGGAGCCAAGACACTTTTATGGGATAATTCTGTGTCTACATTCCTTAAACATCATGGAAACCTACAAAGAGGTATGAAAAAGCGTGTAAACTCTCTCTTGAGCTGTTAGGCAGTTTAATGTTGAAATTTGTGTAGTAGTTTTGTCAATTTTGATTATTTTAATAAATTCTTGTTTTATTTGTTAAAATGGTAGACTCCTTTACTCGTATATGGCCTTCACCTTATTGTCGACCCCAAATACTCTCCCTCCACTCAACCGACATTTGAGAGTCTCAACCCTTGGGACCATTATCGTAAAATAAGCTATCCTGACAGTGAGCAGGTTTAATGACCTGTTGTCTGAACAGGGAGGTGCGACTGGCTCCGTCCTCCCTGGCGGTTCACACTAATGTTTTTGACATCAAACATCAAAAGTTAAAAATGAAGTGTTAGTGCCAGAAGGAAGGATCAAGGATGGACTCCAACAAACTTTAAAGAAGTGAGGTGGTCTATGACGATGGTGTGAGAATCATGCTAGTGTACAATGGTCCATGAAAGGCAGTACACAAATAAATAACAAGTATTTATTTACTGTCATGTGAATAGTAATATACAGGATTCTTTTACAGATTCAAACTCTGAGTGTTACAGAATATCCGAAAATAGGTGCAAGGAGTCGAGTAAATACAAAGAAAAGGAACCTGCTCGCAACAATTAAGAAAAAACAGATGTATAATCTTACAACTAATACTTATACTATATTATAAACTAAAAGAGGAAGGAAGAATATCAAAGAGTTTTGTATGATAGAAGAAGAGGTTATAAAGAATACCCAGGTTTTCTGGTTGGTATTGATGCTCTTCTGGTGGGGAACTACTATAAATTGTTTCGTGGTGATCTTTAATTGGATTTCTTCAATTATCCTACTTGTACAAGGGACGTTCATCTCTCTTTCTTTGCGTTGACATGGTCTTTTCTCCTTTGCAGGTCACCTTCATCTCCCTTTGTCCTTCTAGATGGCAAGTAGGAGTGTAACTTTCACATGTCTGCCTTCACTGAGAGTCCAACCAAAGAATGACCCTCCTTATCCATTATAGTAGCCTCGGGGCTCTAGCTTCCCATTGTTACTGTGGTTCTTAGAAAAGGTTACCCCCTTTCTACCAGTGTCACCAAGTAATGAATAACAGACTCCAAAGAATTGCTCGGCATTGACAAAAATTTAATAAATTCAAAAAATTCCAAAAATCCGAATATACAATTATTCACACTTACAAACTAGAATATACAAATTTGACTGGGAACGGTCATCACGATACAACAGATAGCTCCCACATACTGACAAATAAAAGAAACTAATTCTAGCTTAGGATTATCTTAATTAATTAAATAATACAAATATAGGGCCCAAAATTTAGAGAAAGATATGAGTAACAGAATTATACAGAAAGAAAGGTTCAAAGGGGTGACTGGTAATAGTAATCAAAAATACCTCGGATCCGTCCCCTCGTAAATTTTCTTTTTTACGTGCTTGTCCTCACGTGTTATCTGTCCTCTTTCCTCTCGTCTCCTAAAAGTGTCCTTTCTTCCTGTTCGGATCTCCCTCCCACCCACCGCCACTTCATTGGTCAGCCCCTTTGTCTTAAAACAAAGGGGCTGACCAATGAAGTGTCAGCCCCTTTGTTTTAAGACAGATTGGACCACATGGGTTAACCAACCACATCATGGTTAAGGAAACAAAAGCCAGAAGTACGATTTTTCCATAAGAAAATGTTAACAGGGAATTAAAGGAAAAATATAAGTAACATGGCTTAATAAAGTCACAACAGTAACAATGAATTAATGTAACTAAGAATTTTTGACTAACATTTTTTCCTGTGTAAACCCACAGGAAGGAATGTTAGTCAAAAATTCGAGAAAACAAAAGGAGAAACAAAGAAGAAAGAAAACTTAAAACTAAACTTATATTAAAACATATACAGTAATATGGTGTATCACCACAATGGCAATTGATGTGTCATGTATGGTTTTAGATTTTTATATTTGTGTTTTTATCTTATGATATTCTTTATCTTTATTCTTTATTTTCTCTTATCTTTATCTTTTATTCTTTATTTTTATCTTTGTCTTTATCTTTATTCTTTATCTTTTCTTGAAGGTTGAAATAACTACACTTTTTTGTAAATGATTTAATTTGATTGACATCAACAGTTAAGAAAATGCAGTGAGTCTAAGCCAAAATCATAACTTAAAATATTGTTAAAGAGAAGCTTCTCATAATTAAAACATTAAATAAAGAAACCTACTGAAATAAAAACAATATTTAACATTCATCATATATTGATAGCATTTAATTTTTAACATTGAACACTTACAATACATAGCAATTACAGGAAATATTTGAAATTATTTGATCATAAATAGTAACAGTTCAATTGCAGTTGGAAATTAGAAAAAATAGAAAACAGCATTTCAGTACAGATCAGAAGCATGATCAAAGTAATTTTGCTGTTTATTAATGATATGTACAATCATATATACATATTATTAAGTGTGAATGTTAAGCATATAATAGGCTGTCATTTTTTCAATAATTCTAGATTTTAATCAATATTCAAAATCTGAATGTTTTTTGAAAATTTTCTGCTTATAATATTAAATTAAATTCTTAATTTCAGGTTTGGATTAAAAGAAAATATGGCTGAATTATATTTAGATGATGTTCAATTCTTGGCTGCTATGAAACCATTTGGCACTCGAAGCAATGTTTCTCCTCGTTTTCTTCATCATTTCTTTACTCTAGGAATAAATCCATTCAGCAATGAAACAATATCTAGAATTTTTTCTATTTTATTATTCACTCATTTCAAGGTTAGTTTATTCTAATTTATATTAAAAATTGTACTATAAACTTACTGTAAACATTTAAACTCATAGAAGTAAAATTTATTAATGATGATAAACAAATTGCAGCAGTTATATATTTTTAAGTTTATTAGATTTCAAAGCAGACAACTTTCATTTGATTTAAAATAATTATAATTTATAATTCAATCCATTATTATTGAGTTCATATTAATAAAACAAAATACTATGATTCTGTATAATCTATATCTATATATATAAAAATGAATGTGTGTGTGTGTGTGTGTGTGTGTCCTTCATGCATTATCACACCGTTTATCCGATTGCCGTGAAACTTTGGGAAGTTGTTTAATATACTCCGGCGAAGGTTTGTGGGATAGTACGATTGCCATAAAACTTCGGAAAGTTTTTTAATACCCTCCCGCAAAGTATATTTATCCTACGATAGATGGCGCGTGTTTACACGAGCATTCGAGCACAGTGTGTGCCATCCATTTCAAATTGTGTAGACCATTTCCCCCTTCAAAAAATATTTTTATATATGCATTTGTTATTTATGATATTCGTAATAATGTTTGTTTAATCACTTTATTTCATTTTTTTTTTTTGCTAATTATGTATTCGCTCGAACTTCGTTAAAACCTTAACTGTATCCCAAACAACAACTGAAGTTGTAGGAAGAAATTCGCTTATTTTACCGATCTAGGTATCCCCCTTTTTCCAAATTTTAATATCGACTCAAAATAATTTAAAAAGACAAATTACAATAAAACGGTTTATTATCCAACTATCAGAAATTTCACAACATGCCAAGGAAGAGAGGAAGGAGCAATTAAATAATGAAAATTATAAAGGATTTTAAAAAATATATAAAAATGAGGAATATCACACTTCTGACAATCGCTGTGAGTATGTGGGTTAAATTTGGAGAATCTGTGCTTCTCGCATGGACAACTGAATGTGGCCGGCTCATGCGTCGGAAAACCTTCTGATTTATTCGTGTACGCACCAGACGGAAAAACAAAAAATATCGTGTATCCACAAACACTCCGATAAATAAATAGAATTGAAACGACACTTTGAAATGTTTTTTCGATGAAAATGAATAATAATAATAATAAGTTTCGATAAAAATGATAAAATGTAAATTGAATTTTATCATAACGAGTTTGCTTGAATTTCCTTTCTTCTGAGATCGCAGCAATGCGCGACGGGTAAGCTAGTCATTAATAAAAGTAAAGAATTATTTATAGTTAAGAAATCAACTTATTTAATATAAATAAATTTAAATAGTTTTGGAGTTTTTTCTTCAACTCCAGATTGTCAATATATAATAAAAATAAAAAAATTAGTATTTAATTTATTGAGAACTGAAAATTTTATTAAATAAATTTAGAGGAATATTGTCTAAATTGAAAATTTCTTTACAACTTTCAATCTTTAGATACAGCTAATATAGAGAAAATTTTCTGATGAATAATAATTGATCAAATGTTGACAGATTAATGGATGATGGTAATATTTCAGTGCATAATCTACAGAAGATTCTTTAATCTAAACTTTTTAAAACTTACTGAAAAACTATTTAGAGCATCTTTTAAAAACCTCAATCTCTGTTTTTGTCTGTCAACAATTTCTTGAGAATCTTGACAAATATTTGTAATGTTTACTTTATTAGTTATATACAATGCATATCATTAAAATCATCATTGCTAATAGATAACATTCTGTTTAAAAGAATTGTGGTGACTACAGGTGTAACTTAAAATATTTTATATTTCTATTCTGTATGTAGCAAATCCTCTATATTGATTTTTGATTTATTATTTGGATAAAATACATTACAGTAACAAAAATTAAATTGATAAAATGCCACTAAAATGTTTTGAGATTTTATCTGTAATGATGATATATATATATATATAGATTGAAAAATATTTTATATTACAATGAAAGAAAACTGAAAAATCTGATATTTAATCATTAAAATTTGATTATTTATGATTTTCAGCTATTATTAATTATGTTTTTACTATACACATTAAAGTCATCTAAATAACTTTTGAAGGATAATAGCTGGAGATATGGAAGAGAGAGATATACACTATCAGATTAGACTGATAGCAGTGACATTTGGAATTTAAAATTCCTATGTCAGAAAGTATAAGAAATACAGAAAAAAAGTAAATCAGAAAGTTGTAGAGCATCATAAAATTAATAAGAAATAACATTTTGTAGAAATGGATTGTGCAAATAGAAAGCTGGGCTGTACATGCATAACTATGCCACTCTTTGAGGATGAACTGTAATACTGACAGTCTTGCTTAGTTGTCAAACAGCTTGGCAAATGGTGCAGGCAGTCAGATTTGGGGCAGTAGGAAAGCGTAAGACTTGCTTCCGTATAACTTTCCTAGCATTTCATTTGCATTTATAAGATGGCAATACCCTTTTGCAATACTGTTTATTTATATGACTTGCTATCATTTTTTGTTGCCATGTTACTCTTCAAAGAACAATCTAACTGTAACATTCATTATGAATGAGTAGCTCTAATAAACACAAGACTAAGTTAGTTAACACATGTCTTAATGCAGTATGTTTTACGGGGAATTCCCTAACTTTCTCTTACTTTCCCTGATATAAGGGAGAGCATTTTGTGTTATAAGTATTCCCAAAATTGTTATTACATCTATTGTTCATTACACTGGCAATTGACAGTCATTACATATTGCTACAAGTGAGTTTTTATAAACAAGAGTAGTGTCAACCTTCAATATTTATGCATTTCACTCATATTCAAAATGATGTTGATCTGCTTGATATAATATTACAATATGTTTTATACATTTGAATTAATTATTGCATAAAAAGTTTTTGAAATCATGAATTAATAATTATTTTTATTATTTATTTTAAATAGATTAATTTGTTTCTATCAGAAGTTTATTCAATAAAAGATACTTTAGTAGATGCTACTTTGAAAGTATATGAATTGGCTGTATCTTATCTACAACCTACTCCAAATAAGTCTCATTATTTATTTAATTTAAGAGATTTTTCTAAAGTTATTCAAGGTTGTTGTTTACTGCAGAAGCAATCTGTGACTGGAAGAAAAATCTTTATTAGGTAAATTTATAATTTTTTTTAATATAAACTAATCAAAAAAGCTAGAAAATACTTCAACATTAGTGATAGTGCATGACAAGAATTTGGTCAAAGTGGTTTCAACCATAAGTGTCATATGATTGAAAATATCAACATTTTTATTTTATTTATCATTACTTTTATTTTTAATTTATAAATTTAATATGTAGAAGCTAAAACTTACTACAAATTTAGTAATGACACTCAGATTATCTGATATTCTAGCACAGTGGTTCCCAACCTTTTTTCATTAGCGTACCCTGTGACATGTCATATCTCTAGATTGTACCCCTCATTTAAGAAATTTAGTGATTAACCATATTGTTAATTTTATATATTGTAACTTTAAATTAAAGGAAAAAAAACCTAAAAGAAAAAATGTATAATAAAGTTGTGATTGTTGCAAGGAACATTTTTTATCTAATAATTTTTTAATACTATTAGTTTGTTATACATAATATATTATTTTTTCTGCCATAATAACTAACTTTTTTCTGTACCTCTAAACAGCTATCGCGTACCCCTAGGGGTACGCATACCACAGGTTGGGAATCGCTGTTCTAGCATATTAAGTAGCAATAATTTTATTACATTTTTAGTTAATAGTTGTTGCTGCTATTATGATTTTTACTCTAATTACAAAAATCTAATCACTCTCCATAATTTTCCAATGCTTTTAGAACATTTTTACATATATTTGTTTTAAATAAGAATTAGTTTAATTTAATGTAAATTCTTCATTTATTTAGATTATGGGTTCATGAAGTATATAGAGTTTTTTATGATCGTCTGATTGATGAGAGAGATCAAGAATGGGTTTTAAAGTAAGATATAATTTAACTTTTATATAAAATAAATATTATATTTTAATTAATTATAATTTTAAATTTTAAAAAAATTTCAGAACTGTTAAACAATGTGTACATGATTATTTTAATGAAAATTTTGATTCTCTGTTTTCTTATTTAAAAGAAGAAAGTGGGGTAAGTGTATTAATAAATTTTATTTTTTCTTAATGGTAAAAATTAAATTATTGTAATTTCCTTCAAATGATAGCCAACAAAGCTCCCTTGCTGCATAACACTGCTAAACAAGATACATTGGCATTGATACTTTTCCCATTTCCACATTCTTTAACACTCAGAAGAAATTTTACATTTAAAAAATTAAAACCAAAAATTCCTTAAATTTTGTGTGAGATTAAACATCTAATTTTAGGATAATCCCAATTAATTTCATTATATGAAATATGTTTTATAATATAGGATGGTAAAGGAAATGAAATAACTAATGAGGACATGATCAATTTGATGTTTGGGAATTATATGAATCCAGATCTTTCTCCCAAAGAACGTTTATATGAAGAAGTTAAAGATTTAGAAGCATTCAAAATGGTTGCTATTTTATCTTTAAGAGAATATAATATGATGAATAAAGCTCAGTTAGACCTTGTTATATTCAGGTTTGTGTAAAAAATTTTTATTTATTTTTATATATATATATATATAAAATTATTACAAGCAATGAAAATCATAAATATTACATAATGATGATAATATTATTTATTTTAGTTTTTATGATAATAATATCAATAACAGTATAAATTTTAAAATAATTTTCATAATTATATAGTTATGTTTTAGTACATCTGGCTCGAATATCACGTATTTTAACAATACCCGGAGGTAATGGCTTACTTGTGGGAATTGGAGGAAGTGGAAGACAGTCTTTAACTAAATTAGCTGCTTCAATGGCAGGACAAACTCTATTCCAACCAGAAGTTACCAAAANGTTTATTTGCATAGTTTGTTACATAAAAGTTTTTTCAATTTATGTGAGTTTAAAGAGATCTCAGTGATGCTTAAAAAAATAAATTTAACATGAAGACAGTGATTTTAAGTCTGGTTAGTCTAACTGTAAGTCTGATTAGTTAGAGTGATTAAATTAACTAGGTGTATACAGTAAAATACGTTAATTTTTGTCTAAATTTTGATTTTTAATTTCTGTAAGATTTTCTTATTTTTTATTAACCCTCAATACCGAAATAATCCCGGGATCCCGGGATTGAATAAGTATAATCCCGAAATCCCGGGATTAGAAATAAGGACCGGGATCAAATTCCATACACACAATATATATTTGAAAATTTTTAGGTGTTTATGGACATCTTATACATTAAAAATATATATTAAATATTATTTGAAAACTAGAAGTTTTTAAAATTCAATTTTTATGAAATTTTTAGACTGTTCAAGCAATTATGCAAGAAAAGAATAGAACTGCAGATTATACACCCATAGAACTCTTTTCCCATTTTGTTAATTTTTGCCAAGAAAATTTGCATATTATTATAGCCATGAGTCCAGTTGGAGATACTTTTCGTTATCGTCTTCAACAATTTCCATCATTAATAAATTGTTGCACCATTGACTGGTTTGATGTAAGAATTTTAAGTTTTTATTATAGATAAATAAATAATAATTTGAAATTTTTATAAATTTAAAATCTTTTAAATAAAATATTGTTTCAATAAAATAAATTTTAAACAGTAGTTATTTTCCTTGGTAAGTAACTTGTACTTTATCTTTATGTTTCTTCTATGTTTATAAAGAAATTAAATTAAACAATATACTAATTAATCAACTTTTATTACATATTTATTTTATAAAACCTTCTGCTTATTGTAAATTTTTAAATATTTTAAAAATCATATGTAATATAAATTTATATTTCGGTTGTATCAACTCATAATATATTATTTGTTATAATCAGGGCTTTGGAGTTGGAGTCGGAGTCGTGGAGTCAGAGTTGGGAGGAATTTCTGGCCAGAGGAGTTGGAGTTGGAGTCGGGAAAAATGTGTCGACTCTGACTCTGGCATTTTAAATTTAATTTAGTTTTTTTTATTTAAATGAAAAAACATTTATTTTATATTTATTAATTTTTTTAAATGTTTTTGTATTTTGTTATAATTTATTTATTTTAAATACAAAATGCAAAAATGCAACAATTTAATTTATTAAATATGTAGTTTTTTGGAGTATTTGTGTTTAGTAGTTAAATTGTTTTGACTTAATTGAATTTGAATATTTTTGAATTATTCTTTATTATCTGTGCTCTAAATGAGTACTCTATTTTTCTGAATGAGCCAAACTAATTCATCAGAGTATATATTTTTCTTTTCTGAACAAGGGGCTGAAGTAGCTAAATCGCACACTTTTTAGTTGGACTAACTTTTCTAGAAAGGTAAAATTGAAGTGCAAATGTTGTAGAATAAAGATATGTAAATGTTGAATTTTATCGCCCTCCTTTTTCCTCTTATTAAATATTTGTTAAAAATTAATTTTTTATACAAATAAATATTAATGTAAGTTAAATATTAAAAATACTAACTATAAAAGTATATGGGTAAATGCCCAGGGCTTTTTTCAGAGTTCAGAGTAGGGTACCCTCTATGAGTGTCTCTACCCCCATAAAATAACTTGGTTTTTAATTTTGCTGGTGTCGGAGTCGGCCTACTAAAATTATGAGGACTTGGAGTGAGAGTCGAGTGTTTTTTTACTGACTTCACAGCCCTGGTTACAATATAAGAAATTGTCTGTGAAATAAATTTATTTATAATTAACAAGCTTAATCTAGCTACTTTTAAATGTAGATTTATCCGCTAACTTTAAACTTTGTTACTGTAGATTCTTTTCAATGTTTCAACATCTCAATATAATTTAATTTTAATACATCAACATTTTTAAATAGCTTTATTATCTATTCAGATCTGAAGTTTTCCTTATTCTCTATTTTTCTGTTTCTCTGTTTCTCTCTCTCTCTCTCTATATATATATATATTTGTTAATTATTGTACATTTATATTGTTAATTATTGTAAAGCTATATCTGGCAACACTGGCAAAAGTGTTCTGTCGTCAGAGGTTCGTCAATTTGAAATGTTGTAAATAAATTCCGCTAGTCAGTAAAGTTAAGTAATAAAAGAACAAAAGAAAATGAAAGGTAATGCTTCATTTTTTGTCTTAACATGGTAGCAGAACGTGGTTAAAAGAAAAAAGAACGAAAAAAATAAAACAAGAAGCGAAAAGAGTTAAATAATTAAAGAAAACAAAGAAAGAGCACATGTGGTAATGGCGGCGAAGAATAGTGATATCAATATACCAATATTTGACGGAGCAGATTACAGTAACTGGAAATTACGTATGTTTAAGTTTTTACAGTTCAAAAAGTGTAAAGATGTAGTAATGAGAGCTAAAATTAAGACCGATGATGACGAATGGGACGAACGAGATATCCAGGCGACTAATTATATCTATAGCGGAATAACTAACAAACAGCTAGAATATATAAGCGAACTTGATACGGCTTACGAAATTATCCAAAAGTTTGATGAGATGTATTTGAAAAAGTCAACAGCTCTGCAAATTGTGTGCCGACATAACCTTGAAAGTATCAAATTGAAAAATTATTCAGATGTAAGCTTATTCTTCGACGCGTTTGAGAAGGCTGTGAACGAATTAAAGCAGGCAGGTGCAATGATATCAGAACAAGAAAAATTAAACTACATGTTAAAATCGCTACCACAGAAGTATAGTCATATTGGTGATTTAATAGATGTTTTACCAGAAAAGGAGAGGACTGTTGACTATTTGAAAAGCAAAATAAAGTTAAAAAGTGCAGAGGAAAATTTTAATGAAGAGTCAAATGATAAATCAAATGTATTTCGAGCAGAAGCCAGGTCATCATTTCAGAATAAGTTGAAATGTTTCAGCTGTGGAAAACCTGGTCATTTAAAAAGAAATTGTCGTTTTGAAATTGAAAATCGTAGTCGAAGTCGTGGTTTTTCTGTTTATCGAGGACGTGGATTGTTCAATGCCAGAAACTTTCAGAGAGGGCGAGGAAATTATCATCAAAACATACATGAATATCAAGGAAATAGTTTTCAGACTACCATTGCAAATAATACTTATATTAATACTACAAGTAAAAACGAAAAGTCAAAGATAGATGAAATAGAATGGTTACTTGATAGTGGTTGCACAGATCATATCATTAACACCGATGAGTATTTTGAAACCTCTGAGACATTGAAGAAACCTATAAAAGTAAAAGTTGGTGATGGAAGAATATTAGAAGCTACAAAAGTTGGCAATATTAAAACTTGTTTCCCAGTTTATGGACAAAAGTCTGAGGTTACGTTGGAAAATGTCTATTTTGTAAAAGATATGAAGGCAAACTTGTTGAGTTATTCGAGGATCACAGATAAACATTCAATTGTTTCAAGGAGAAAATTTTCAAAAATATACAACCCATATGGAAAGGTGATAGCTGTTGCAATCAAAGAGGATAAACTATATAAAATGAAAAGTTATATCAATGAAAGAAAATCACAAGCGAACATGAGTAAAAGCAACATGACTATAAAAGAAAAACTACATAGAACACTGGGACATATCAATTTTAACAACTTGAAAATAATGTGTAAAAATGAATCACTAGATGGACTACCCAGAGAGATTGAACCAGAATATTTAAAGTGTGCTACATGTATTGAAAACAAAATGCATAACTTACCATTTCATAATAACAGGAGAAGAGCAGAAGACATATTAGAAATTGTACATACAGATCTAAATGGACCACATCAAACTACAGGAAATCTTGGAGAAAAATATTTCTTAAATTTCATAGATGATTATAGCAAACTAGTTAAAGTTTATTGTATCCAGACAAAAGATGAAGTATATGAATGCTTAGTACAGTATGTTAATGAAGTTCAAAACTTGACTGGAAAGATGATAAAGGAACTGCGATGTGACAATGGGAAGGAGTATATGAATGCAAGAATTTTTAAGTTTGCAAAGGAAAAGGGAATAATAATAAAACCTTGTCCATCATATGTGCATGAACTAAATGGAACAGCAGAAAGATACAATCGAACATTAATGGATATGGGGAGATGTCTTTTATCAGAAGCAAAAATTGAAAGAAGATTTTGGCCAGAAGTAATTAAAACAGCTGCATATCTTAAAAACAGAACATTAACTAATACCATTGAGAGAAAAACGCCATATGAAATATTTTTCAAAAGGAAGCCATCAGTAAAAAATTTAAAATTATATGGAAGTAAAGTATTCGTAAGAATTCCAGAAGAAAAACGAAAATCTAAATGGGACAAGAAAGCAGAGGTTGGAATTTTGATTGGATATACAGATACTGGATATAGAGTATTGATGAATAGCAGAGTTATAATGGCTAGACATTGTGACATAATAGAAGAGAATGTAAACTTGTGTGGATTTGAAAATGAGAAAGAGGAAAAGAATGAAGATAAAGAAGAAAGACAAAAGGATTCAGATCAAGCAAAGGAAAAGGAAGGAGAAGACTCTACTAGTACAAACCATCAAGAAAAGGATATGACAAAAGACTTGGAAAAAGACAATACACATAAAGAAAATAGTAATGATGAGATAAAAGAGGATGAAGAAAAAACAAAAGGAAAAAGATCAGGAAGACAAATTAAACATCCACTCCGCTTTGATGAAGAATTCGGTTATTACAGTATAAGTGTAAATTACTGTGATGCTACTGTTCCAGAAAATTTTCAGGAGGCGATGACAAGTGATGATTCAAAGAAATGGAAAGCAGCAATGAATTCCGAGATGGACAGTCTTGTGATAAACAATACATGGACACTTGTGAGCAAGCCTCCTAAAGACAAAAGGGTAATTGATGTGAAGTGGATATACAGAAAGAAGAGTGAAAGTGAATATAAAGCCAGGTTAGTGGTAAGAGGTTTTCAACAAACTGATTGTATTGATGACATTTATTCTCCTGTTGCTAAAATGCCGACTTTAAAGTTGCTACTGTCTTATTGCTGTAAAGATAAACAAATTATTGTTGACATTAAAAACAAGTTATCTAATAAGTTTAGAATGAAGGATTTAGGTAGAGTAAAAAGGCTACATTGGTATTGATATTGAATATGACTATGTACAAGATAATATTTTAACCTTAAGTCAGAAATCTTATATTGAGTCTTTAGCTAAACGTTATAATATTGAAAATTCAAATTGTATAAAACACCTATGGAATTAAATTTAAAACTGGAAAAGTCTAATGTAAATGAGAATGTTAAGAAAGGAAAATTTGAAATTGTAAAATTAGTGTAAGAAAATAATATTGCTGATATTTTTACCAAGGCATTAGGAAATGTCAAATTCATTAAATATAGAGAGATGCTAAATGTAAAAGAATAGAATATAAGATGATAAGATGTGTGAGATTAAGATAATTTGTTAATTAATAGTGCTGTCAACTTGGATGTTACTTTTCTTGTGTTTAACTATTTTGTGTTACAATATAAATGTAAGGAGGCGTGTTAATTATTGTACATTTATATTGTTAATTATTGTACAGCTATATCTGGCAACACTGGCAAAAGTGTTCTGTCGTCAGAGGTTCGTCAATTTGAAATGTTGTAAATAAGTTCCGCTAGTCAGTAAAGTTAAGTAATAAAAGAACAAAAGAAAACGAAAGGTAATGCTTCATTTTTTGTCTTAACAATATTGTTATGTAAAATAGTATCTGTATTATCTTATGTAAATTTATGAATTTGCATTCATATGCCAACAGTTTCTATGGAAATCACATTTAAATTATAGGCATATGGAAAAGACTCTAAAAACTATAGAACTATCTTTTGTAAGGTCACTGATGGAGACACAATGGTCAGTATTGACAACTGGTCGAGAGGGTCACATATGGGTGCAATCAGTAGTGAGACAGACTCTATGGTTACTAGAAATCATTTATTTGGCATGAAAGAATCTTGCAAGATTTTCGCAATTTTGGAAGTTCTAAGTCGGCAGTGGCCTCTGGGTCTTCCTCTCCTTTTGAAGATAATCCCAAATGAAGGAATGTCCTTGGTTTGTGAATGACAGTTCCATCGACATCTTGACAACTCTGGGACATGTGATCAACCTCTGATAATGGGACGATGTCAATCAGAGGATGTGAGACAGAGATGAAGATGGGCATGAGACACAACAATTGGTCTGACACTTGGAACTTTTTAGAAGGAGCCATTGTGTCCTTGAATTCCCAGATTTTTATTAATTTCTGACCTTGATTGCTCATTCCGATTGGTCGCTTTCCCTCATTCTTACTTTCTAAGAGGTTGACTACTCATTACTAAGTGCAACGAGATATCAGCTTAGACCGCAGGAGAAGTCAAAATCAATTAAACATTGATTTTGACTTCTCCTGGAGAAGGTCAATCTTAGGATTTACATTTTTTAAAAATTTTCATCACATTTTGATAAAAATTGTTTCTAGCTTTTTTTTTTTTTTTGTTATCTTTTAAAAAAATAATTTTAGTGAAGGTTTGGACCTGTCCAGATCCTCACACTTTTGTACTTTCAAGTAAGCACATTAATGTAACATGTGTAGGTGTTACTTAACACTTTGTCAGCATAGAATTTCCAGTATGTCAAATCTCTTGCCAATAATGTTGAATGTATAGACAGTGAGTGATTCCAGTTTTCAAGCAACTAACTAAGAGTCTGTCTCAAAACTGTTCCTGTGCACCACTAAGTTGCACAGTTGTATTAAAACCTGTCAAGAAATGACTCATGCTTGCAGCTAAAAATGGCACATGCTCTTCTGACATTGTGTTTAGCCACAGTGGAAAAGTCCAAGCACTCGTATATTGTATGCATGATGTAGACAAAATGATGGATTCTATTAATTTTACAAATTTTATTCTGTTAAATAAGAAATATAAATTTAAATTTATTTTTAAATAATTTACTAATAAATATTGAAANAGTATAAATTTTAAAATAATTTTCATAATTATATAGTTATGTTTTAGTACATCTGGCTCGAATATCACGTATTTTAACAATACCCGGAGGTAATGGCTTACTTGTGGGAATTGGAGGAAGTGGAAGACAGTCTTTAACTAAATTAGCTGCTTCAATGGCAGGACAAACTCTATTCCAACCAGAAGTTACCAAAAGTTATAGTAGAATAGAATGGGAAGATGATTTAAAAGTAAGAATAAAATCTATTTTCTTTTCTCTTTAAACTGTTTTGTTGTGAAAATTATTGAAATTAATTCATTTATCACATACACTTACACAAAATATGACTTATATAACTGCAATTTAATTATCTAACTACTTATTAATTTATAGTTTTCATCAAGGCCAGATTAACACTATGACTAGGACTAAGACAGGTTAACACTATGACTAAGACAAAATGGTTCAGATTAACACTATGACTAGGGTCAGGAGTCTTGTCTCATTTTCAGTTTAAATATTTTCTAACAGCATGATAAAAGTTATTATTTCAAAGTATTAGAATGTACAGTGACAGTAATGAAATTTTTAGCAGTAAGGGATTAACTATTGCTATATATTCTTATATAATGTGATTACATGAATTATGTAATCACATTATATAAATTATTAATATTATGTAATCACATTATTAATATTATGTAATCACATTATATGAATTATTAATATGTATATTGTAGTGCTATGCTACTATACTTGCAGGGAGACTTCCTAATTTGGTTAATTTATATATGTATCGTATGTGTAATTGTAATTCCATTCAGCTTGTGTTGGGTTTTGTGTTGTGTTACATGTGTATTTTGGACTTGTCCCATACCACCCTATATCAGGTCGTATGGTGAAGACATCGCTAATTGGTCGACTTCCAGGTCACGTGAGAGGTGATGTTTTTGAGATGATGGGAGATATGAAAGGGAAGGTCCAACCTGTCAGAGGAACTTCCTGCTTCGCCTGGGTGCATCTTGGACATTATCCTTTTAGACGAAACAAGTGAGTGTGAAGTTGTGTGGAGTTCCAGCTAGGACAAAAGACAGATCATATACATCATTATATAAAAAAAGGTAATTCAAATCCATCGACAAGAGAGTGCAGGTAGATTGGACGGAGGATAATAAAGTGAATAGATGCAAATTAACAGAACCTAATGTGACTATTATTATTCAAAAATTATATGGTGTAAATTTTTAAAACACTTAATTTTGAATAGAAGGGTTGAGAGGAAGAGAATCACCAGAAGAGAAAGGCCCCAGAATCAGTGCCAAGAAGATTATTCCTACACATGGTATAAGTAGTGTAACATGGTACATGTATATACGCATCAACGTGGATGCAGTTATGCAGTTAATGCTTACTTTGAAGTCACCCTTGATCAATTGTTAGTCATTTAAGCACGGAACAAAGTGGTGTCGGGTATAATGTTAATTCTTTACGTCTTTCTTTGTAATTATTAAACTTGTCTGTCAATGTTCTCATTAAAATTTTGTAAAGTCCTCAGTTTATAAGCTCGATATATTCTGATATATCCGAGTTATTACAATATAGAGGATGTCAACAGATTAACACTCAGAATCAAAAGCAACAATAGTCAGTCAGCTATAAGAATATTTTATTATACCACAGATGTTGCCAGCTTTTGCGACCACTTATACATTACATTACTTAATATATAAGGTTTCTTTCTTTAACTTTAGAGATGTAACAATATAAACAAAATAAGTAAATAAAAAACAAAACAATGATGCTAATGTATTCAGTCTAAATAAAGGTTCTGTAGTATTCTTAGATTCTGACTTGTCTTTCTGATCTAGTTGATTGACAATCAGAACTGACACCGTGAGTTTCATTTGTCTTTTGATCTGTGATGTTAGCAGATTGATTCTGCTGACAACTGTTGTTACTCAGTGATATAATCTTATACATCAAGAATACATCAGTTTGTCTATGGCTTTCTACATGTCTTCTAATGTGCTTTCTATTCTTTCTAAACTTGGTTTGATGTTTTCCTCTGATTATATATGATCTAGGTTTATTACAGCTGTCTTTTATAATTCCTTATTTCCATCTTAATCTATTCCAGTACTCAGTGGTATGTTATCCTATTGGCAAAAAGGGCAATTGCTTGGGGGCCCCCAAACCAGTCTTTTGTAAACTCATTTACTGCAGTAAGAATATCACAATTTAAATTTGGTGTCATATTTGAAGACACTACATTGCCAGTGGGGTGCATCACAAAACTTGATTAAAACCTTCCAGAAGTCACATTAAAAAACAATTGAGGAAACTGGGAGGTTCCCAAAAAAATTCCTCCAAACAAAAATGTATGAAGTCAATACTCTATATGGGGCCCTCTAGTTCAAATTTGCCTAGACCCCATGAAGTTAACATGCCACTGCCGATACCATACTTTTTTCCTTTCTCTAACTGGAGTATGGGTTTTTTTTGTCTCAGTTGAGTTTGAATCATCTTTTGGCTCATTTTTCCAAAGACAGTTTTCAAATTTGTGCACGAATTTTGTGCACAAATGCTTTTCAAATATTGAAATTTCATTATATATGTAATTGTTTAGGGGCTTTCACATTAAGCAAAGAAGTTTTTCTAAATTAAAATTGACCAAAAATACTTTAAGAAATGTTATAATAGAAATGACACTCAATAATTTAGCTATTCTTAATATAGAAAACAAATTTTTTAGTTTTTTAGATTTTAGTGAATTAATTAGTAAAACAGGTAATATAAATTTTAAAATTTTAATTAAAATTATATTTGTTATTAAATTACTATATTTATTAAAAAAATAATGTGCATCCTTATTTTTGGAACTAATTTTCAGAAAAAATATTTCCTTGAATATATCTTTTTTTAGCTAATTTTCAGAATAAAACATTTAAATTAATATTTTAAATGATGTATTTTATGACAAAAAGTTTAAATGTAATGTCATAGCACTTCCAAAAACCAGAAGAAATCTGATTTGCTTGTGTAGAACAAACTTTTGTACCTTCCATGATCCATGCAGTATTGTCAACATCGAAGTTTAAAATTGGTTAAAGGCTTGATGCAGGGCAAGTGGCTCAAGGTTGCATTACTTAGTGTCTCTTTATGTAGGTATGGTTGTAATATTTGACTTGTAACGAAATTGATCTTAACTAATGATTTGTGACTCTCAGTGCACTTCATAATGTCAATCAAAAATTATTTTATGACTTATTCTGTTAATTCTAGTAATTAAGTGGTATTAGCTTGAAAATTCTTTCCTGGAGGTTGGCAATAGAGACTGAGGATAGAAGTGCCTATGAATGGTTTCATATCTTCTGTAAAAATTTCTCAAATGGACATTTTTACAGTGCCAAAAATGGTAAAAGAGTGTACCTTATACAGTGGAACCCCGGTTAACAAATGTAATCTGTTCCATGAGTCCGTTCATTAACTGAAGCAATTTTTCCCATAGAAATTAATGCAAATACAATTAATCCGTTCTAGCCATCAGTATTTTTGTAATTTTATTTGTAAAATGGGTTTTCTATAATGAAAATATAGGAAAACATGCTCACAAACAGTCAATCTAGGTTAAATTTTCGGAAAAGAGGAAAGATTTGACGGGTATAAAAACATCACATATGATCGTTAAAGTTCTAAAATGACAGATAGCAGAAACAATAGGCTAAATTATGAGTAAAAGGCTTACAGGTTTATCAACAATCTTTGATCAGAGTCGACAAACAGGTGTCAAATAAACGCCTGGAAACAAACCTTCCTCGTGACGTGATCTGGTTTCGGTTTTCACCTGGAGACAAAGAAGAAAACAATCGGGAAGTGAGGAATGGGACGCAGGACTAATTGTAAGGTGAGATTCAAGGAAGAAATACTATAAAAACCCCGAATCTCAAGGTCAAAACGCAGTTTTCCTAAAAATTCTATGGCGATTAATCTGTGTCGTCTTCATTTGGATTAAGCCTGAAGTCATGCCCGCTAAAATTTGTGTTGTGTCTCACAGACTGCTCCAGTCGTTGCAGCTCTGTCACCTACCAGCGCTTCTGTGACCAAGCGAACCCATCTCGTCCGCTCTGGGGCTACGGCTGATCAGCTTGCACTATCGTAGGACCAGCGATACGCCACTCCTCAGTGCCGAGAGAAAATACTGTAGATAAGCCATTTCCAACTACCTCAAATATGTAAGCATCTTCCCGTTCTAATAAACGATTTTCACTGTAAAATACTTGTCATCTTTGTCTCCTCAGCCACCACCAACGTACGAATGGACCCTAGACCATCACCGACACACGATTAACTGATTTTCCCTAAAAGATGGCAAGCTTACAAATTTGACACAAAAAGCTGTTAAGTTCGTTATCCGCGACAAAATTTTTGCTAAATAAAAGTTCGTTAACCGATTTGGTCATTAACCAGAACGTTTGTTAACCAGGGTTCCACTGTATTTGGATAAATGTGGAATATTTCAGTAAACTGTAATAGAACATATCAAGCCAGTTCATATTTTTGGCAAAAAATTAATATTGTAAGTATACAAATAAATACAAATAGTACATAGGTACTGTATGTACTGTACTTATATACATAGCTATTACTTACTATTAACTTAAATTAGGTAATACATGTAAGAAGACACAGATGTTTGTAAAGATCATGATAAATTTATAAAAATTAGAACAGCTGTGATATATTAAGATATTTACAAAAATAAAATAAACACTAAAATAAATGAAAAGTGTTTTCACATTTTGCCTTTTTTGTCCCATGAACATAATAGTCTCAAAGCAGAAATGACCTTTACTGGCTTTTATCCACCTCACTGTGCAAAACATTAAAAATTCTCTCTGGTAATAGCATTATTATAAAAAATGAGGTGAATAAAAGATGTGAAATCAATGTGAAAACAATTTGTTTTAGTGTTTTTCTCAGAATTGGTGTGGATCCCCCATTGGCAAAGAAGAAATACAGCTTTAAGATAGAAGGAAATGAAAAAGAAAGATATAAGGAAAGAAAAATTAATGTTAGCAAATTTAATTTATGGCATACAGGCATAATGTGAATTTAAATTGTCATTTTGATTTTATTATCAGTGATATATTAAGAATTTTTTGTGAACTATTTAACAATAAAAATGATTTATTTGTTGTTAAATTATTTATTTTTACCCAATATTTAATATCTAATTATTAAAGATAACATTTATGAAAATTAACATTTATGTATTTAGTTTAAATATTGCTTACTATACAGTGAAATTGACCATATTAAAATGAAAGGAGTCATACTTTATTTTACAGAGAATGCTGAAGAATTCTGGAGCAAAAAAGACTGTTACAACTTTTCTGATTTCAGATCATCAGATTACAAATGAGACATTTTTAGAAGATATTGATAGTCTCTTGAATACTGGAGAGGTTGCTAATCTTTTTGATTCAGAAGACAGATTAGAAATTATAGAAGTATGTAAATTTGAAATCTATATAATATATTACTTATGTATTATTAATATATATATTGTGTCCATGATGCCCTAGACAGTTTTTAAAATTTTATTACGTAAAATTACTTATACTATCTGAATATGTTTTGATATATTTCTTAGTTATGATTCTAGCTTTTTGTGTTATTATTTAACTTCAGTATAAACCCTTTTTGTGTTATTCAAGCTATCATATTTTCTTTCACCTAATTTTGTCTGAATATTGGGTTTAACCATAATACTAATGTTGTGGTATACAAATACCAGTGCAGATCCACCAACAGGATCTCAGCACAGCAAGTTCTCACCTTGAGAGAAGTGAAGGAAGATATGTATGAGCAGTGGTGATATTCAGCGGGTTCGCACAGGTTCGGCCGAACCCGTTGTTAACATTTTCAAAGTTTTCCGAACCTTGTTAAACACATGTAACATTTCTCAATGGTTTTGATTCTTTTAAAAATATTAAAATATACGTATTATTCTCTGTAACACTACTAAACTAGAGCCTTCCGATGCACCATTTGAGCGAAAAAAAATTGTTAAGGNGTAAGTTAAATATTAAAAATACTAACTATAAAAGTATATGGGTAAATGCCCAGGGCTTTTTTCAGAGTTCAGAGTAGGGTACCCTCTATGAGTGTCTCTACCCCCATAAAATAACTTGGTTTTTAATTTTGCTGGTGTCGGAGTCGGCCTACTAAAATTATGAGGACTTGGAGTGAGAGTCGAGTGTTTTTTTACTGACTTCACAGCCCTGGTTACAATATAAGAAATTGTCTGTGAAATAAATTTATTTATAATTAACAAGCTTAATCTAGCTACTTTTAAATGTAGATTTATCCGCTAACTTTAAACTTTGTTACTGTAGATTCTTTTCAATGTTTCAACATCTCAATATAATTTAATTTTAATACATCAACATTTTTAAATAGCTTTATTATCTATTCAGATCTGAAGTTTTCCTTATTCTCTATTTTTCTGTTTCTCTGTTTCTCTCTCTCTCTCTCTATATATATACGTATTATTCTCTGTAACACTACTAAACTAGAGCCTTCCGATGCACCATTTGAGCGAAAAAAAATTGTTAAGGAAAAATTTTCTGTTAGCGAACCCTTTGTTAAATGTTTCGAATGTCATCACTGTGTATGAGCACTCATTTTTTTCTCTCTCTTTAGTGCCTGCTAATACATGCTTGTAAACAACTATAATGAGAGTTAGTATGTAAATATTGGATACAAATAATCTTTTGTTAGCATTAGTCCTTATGCTTTGTGTACCAGAAGACATTTCAGCATTGTACTAATGCATGTGAATTTAGTTGGGTCCACGTGTTTTCTCCTTCCTTAGTTGATAAATAGTTTGTCCAAATCCCAAATGATCCTCTGCACAAAATACCTGTTAGTATTTAAAATGCAACAAACACAAATTAAATGTCACACACAATTAGAGGATTTGATCCCGGGATCTCGAAAATCGGGATCCCGGGATCCCGACCACTTTTCAGTCCCAAAATTTTCGGGATTAAGTTTTCCTAATCCCGGGATTTTCGGGATTGATATCATTTTTAAAAAATTGCAAAATAGACTGCATGAAGTGAAACGTTCAGTGCCAGTGCTTTTAACAGAATTGCTTGCCTATCATTTTAATATAAAATACAAGAAATTTTATTCCAAGCAAGCAGCAGAAATTAACC